CATGTATAACTGAATCACTTTGTTGTACACCTGAATCTAACGCAACATTGTAAATCAACTATATTTTAATAAAAAAATTTTAAAAAATAAAATAAAAGACATGGTAAGGAACTTTGCCAAGTCCTCTCGCTAGTAAGATGTCTAGTTGAGGCTTGAATCTAAGTCGTTCTGATTCCAAAGAGCATGCTTATTGTTCTGGATTGCCTCAAAAAAAATGCTATGAGAAAAATGAGAAAAAAATGAAAGTCGAAAGGATTCACACAAGTGTCTTTTTAAAATAGAAACTCCAACCATGCATTGAAAATACTTTCATCTGTACTCATTTTATGCACGCAAATTTTCTCGGTGAAATTTCAGGTGGCAAACGCCTAGGTTGGTAAATTATAGCCTGATACACGCTTCCCCTTTTGTCTTTTCTTTCTTTCTTTCTTTCTTTTTTTTTTTTGTTGGCCCTGTGTTACAAGCTCGGAGGTCAGGCTGCTCCAGAGGGCATCAGTGTCACTGTTTCCTCACGAGGATGATGTCAGAGGGGAGGTAGCAGCATTAGACACAGGAGCTCTCTCCCCGACACCCCCAGCTCCATCAAGTCCCAGGTCTCCTGTAACTGACAAGTTTCCAGAAGTAGATCTTCCGGACTTACTTCCAAAAGGTTTAGTCTGAGGTTCTTCTGTGATTCCTTCGTTCAACAATCTCCCCTCAATCTGGACAGCACTTTGGGGGTCTCGTGGCTGGAGGACTTTTTGTTACGGAGCCATAGTGGCAACTGCAGAAACAGCCTCATCTCTGGGAGTTTCCCTCCATAAATAGCACTCATTACTGGAAAGTTGTTTTCAGTATCAAGTCGTGGCAGTGCCGAGGTAGATTATATAAGTGGTCATACTTCCACAGTAAAATCCACAAATTTCTGTCATTGTGAAAGTGGCTTCTCACTTGTAAAATGCAACCCCTTGCTTACCCTGAAGAGGACATAGAAACATTGACGTTTGTGTAGCACCTGACTTTCACCTTAATACCCTTTAATACGTAGAATCCTGATGAAGCAGGGACAGAAAAGAAGTACCCTGAAAGTTGATGCATGGAGCTGGTGTAGGAGATGTGGAACTACAGTTTCCAGAATGGGGAACTTCCCTAAAGGTGGAGGGTCAATTGTCTACCTTAAGAAAATAAGCAAGTGTATATCTGCACAATTTCTTCTACCATCCTCAGAACGTTCTTTGTTCATTAAATGAACAATTCGTTTCTGACACTCTGTCATTTACCTACTTGACACCCTGTTAAAAAGAATGACTTTTGAAGGAGAACCTCTCTAACAGTCTAAGGACGATGCAGATTCATGACCACAGTTATCCAATATCACAGGCGTTTTAAATGTAAAACCAGCAAGTTGCATGTGAGCTTGGATTTTTATGTAGCCAAACTTCCTCATTTTGTAAAACACAAAAAACAAGTAAATTCCAGAGAGGTGAAATAATTGACTCAGAGCCCACAACGGTACAGATATAATAACATGATTAAGTGTCCATCCTGTTACAGCCGGGCTGAAATGTATAGATTAATTACTGCAAATGGAGAGGACTATGTGTAATTCCAATAGACCTTTTCCTAATATCTATTGCCCACAAATATTCCTTCAAACATTCATTTGAATATGAATAAAAAGATATACTTTTTTAAAAAATTGAGGAGAAAGATCGTACTTGTTATTATCCACCACAAAATAAGCTGGACCGCCCGAGAGTCTGCTGGGCTCGGTGAGGCTGCAGCTCCCACGAGCTCAGAGGCTCAGCTCCCTCATCCAGCCTCATGCATGTCTTCTCAGGAGAGCTGGTCTAGTAGCTCACCTGGTGCCCAAGGATGGGGCGTGATGCAGGCTTCTTACCCCCAAAAGCATTAGCACCCGCTGCATACGCTTCAGATGATGGCAGAATGGGGTTGGTCTCTGCAAAGGTTGACTGATGTTACACGTTATTTAAGAATTTTAAAATCCCTGCTTACCATGTGAATGACTTGATTCCTGGGGGATAGTTTGCTGTGTTACTAAAAAAGCATGATCTGATTTGCCTCAGCAGTCTCTGCATTCTGTCCTTTACCACTGCAGTCCCGTCCACTCTCAGATCAGTTGCCAGGCACAGGGTTCCCAAAGCCCGCTGCTGCCGCCATCCTGGAATGCACTTGGCGTTAGGACCCCTGCACCCGGGGTACAGGAATGCAATAGTGGATGATGTATAGCATGATGTGTGATCTCTGACTTTCCTTATAATTCTTCTGTTCTCATCTCCTTTTTTCCCTTTCTATTTCAATTACTTTGAGCAGCATCAAGAAAAAATTACCAATCTACCAAAATGAGTAAGTCCCTCTGTGAAGCCATGAAATGCTTGCTCTACACAATGCCATTTCATGCTTCTCCATCCTAAACTCTGACCATTTTCTCCTGTGGGAAAAATGTCAAGTTTAGGTGTCGCTAGCTCTCATGACCAACTCATCACTAGAACCTGAATTGGAAGAGCTAACCAAACCTGAGTTTACAGTTCGTTGTTAGAAAGAGCTTTAAGAAATAAAAAGCGACCAGATGCTAACAAGCCCACATGCCAGGCTGTGTAGTGACTTCCGTTTTGTTTATCCTCCTTCACGGGCCCCTCACTCGCATCCCCCGGAAGCCTTCCCTCCCCTGATTCGGCTGCTCTCTGCCCACAGACTGGCCCACCCCGAGGGAAGCCTTCCGGACCTCGCCATGATGAAGCCGACCGCCAGCTTGGAGGTGGCGGAAGCCAAGCAGCTGGCGGGACCTGGGGAGGAGAAGCCGGGGGGATGCCCTGCAAAGGCCAAGAAGGGCGAGCTCGGCAAGGACAGTGAGGAAGAGGACGACGAGGAGGAGGAAGAGACGTCAGGTAAGCCGCCCGCCCGCCCCGGGAGCTGCTCAGAAGATGCCGGCTCCCAGACGGAGGGAATGAAACACTGGCTTGCTCCAAGTGCATAAAACGAGTATACGCTCGACCCAGGCAGTGAACTAGAGACCAGGGTGTGGTCTTTTGGTTGCTGTAGTCATAGTTTTCCTGTTCCAATTGCCCCAAGGATTTCCCTGTAATTCTGACTTAGAGGAAGATGGCAGATGGCTGGTTGTCTGGGTCCTGCAGGGTCCTGCCCAGTTTCGTTTAGTCTGTTAGTTCCCAGGAAGCATGGAGGAACCAGAGATCACAGCCTTTGGTGGGGGAGGTGACATTCTGAGGCTGTGATGCTGAGATGCTGCCCTTGTTTTTCCTGGTGCTCTGTGCTTTACAAAGTAGAAGATAAAAGGCAGCACCGGGAGGAAGATCCCTCCCAAAGACAAGCTCCCCACAAACTGGCCCCTTCGCCCACTCGTCGCAGAAACCCTAGGAGAGGCCCAGAAATGCTCCCTCCTTATCTGAGCGATGTGCCTTCCTCAGGTGAAGGAAACCAAGCTCTGGGGACCACGGGCTCAGGACTAGGTTGTGTTTTATACTTAAAGGCAGGTTTGAGCTTTACAATAACATCTCACCAAAAACTGGGCTGCAGCTTCCTCTTTACTTGCCCCTGTAGCCTCGAAACTGTGCCCAGGTGTGACCTCAATCTTGTAGTGAGTCACCCGAGTCGCTCTGTAAATAAACATTTTCACGCTAACTAAAACCTTCCTTAAACTTTCAGAACCAAGTATATTACCTGTTGCAGACACCCCAGCCAGGTCAGGAAACTACGTACAGAGACCCTGGGTGTTATCTGCCTGGGGCCGTGAGCTTCTGTCTGCAGAGACGGGGACAGGCTGATTGCGTGAAACAGTCCTGTGAGGACTTTTGTTCAGATTAACCGGGACAGACCACCTTCTAGGCAGAAGCATGACCCTAGTCTGCAAAATGTTATTCCCTAGCACAAGGTGGAAGGTAGAAAATGACGAATTTGATTAAAAATTATGACTGGAATGAGTCTGAGCGCCGCACTTGGTGAAGTGTGACTCAGTCGTTCAGCCTCTCAGGTCCATCCTCTGCTGTGACAGGGGTGGGCTCGTCCAGGGCGGCTGGTGGGCTTTGCCCACCCCCTAGTTAAGCCCCGGCAAGGAGACTGGCGCTTAAGGAACCACTGTTTTGGCAAAAAAAAATGTCATGAAGAGGGAGCTCAGCTACTTAATATTCGGGGGAAATCAAGGAATCATAGCTCAGCCCTAAGAGTAAACAAGGTCAAAATTCTTTTTTGCACAAATTTAATGAAGAGGTGGGCGAAAGCAGCCTGTCCTTCGTTCATTCTCGGCGTGTGACGTCGAAGTCATCACCGGACGTGGGATTCTTGGGCCACCTTCCTCCAGGTCGGGGTGTCTTAGATAGAATTCATCCACTCCTGTGATCTTGCAGTTCCCATGGGAATGATACAAGGTAGGCTTTCAACCGTAATCGCACACACAAGCCCTTTTCGTGCCCTCGGGCACATTCCCTGCCCTGCAGATCTGAGGAACAAGTGGCACCTGGTGATAGACCGCCTCACGGTGCTGTTCCTGAAGTTCCTGGAGTGTTTCCACCAGCTGCAGACGTTCCTGTGGTGGATCCTGGAGCTTCACATCATCAAGATCGTCTCCTCCTACATCATCTGGGTGTCCGTGAAAGAGGCAAGTGACGCCTGTTTATCCTCAGGCCAAACCGAACCAGGTCCCGTCGCCACTTTCCTTTGTCAACTGTCCCTGATTTTTTAAGGGTGATTTCCCACGACGTCAGGACACCAAGGTGTGAGACAGGCACATACACTTGACACACAGAAAACCACAGCACAGCTATTCTGAGAAGAGGGAGCGATCTCAGGGCAGAAAGAGCCCCCAGCTTAGTCCCTCATCAGTGTGGTCCTATCACAGAGGTTCCTGATTTTCATCTAGTCTTCAGTGAAGGGTATGAGACAGGGTGCTTTTCTGCACTACGCGCGTGGGAATCTACCTCCATAAATTCTCTTTGGGGAAAACAGTAACATTCCGGTACATGCTACCAAGGAAACGCAGGTTCCAAAATGTGATAGAATCTTTCTTAGAGCTCAGCCTGTTCACGATTGGAGTTTCTGAGATGAAGCACAAAGTCTTTCAACATTGTAATAGCACTTCTGTTTTCTTACCTGAAAAGAGGAGTCATCATTCAGCCAACAATGGTTTGGTGTTTACTGTGAGAAGTTAGCTTTCTTTCAATTTCTTCAACAGATAATTTTCACGTATTTCTAATTTCCCTGGACTCTTTTTGAGTTAGTGACAACTCAAAGGGTCTTTGCCCTCTAAACATTAGGTCAGGAAAGACTGCCTATAATTTTTAAAAAGTTAAATAATAATATAATATTACAACTACAGTACTATGAACCCCAAATGTTTCACGAGTAGGTAACTAAGGGGTAAACCTTACTGTGAGCTCTCCAGTCTAAACTGGGACTTTCTCCCTTTTCATACAAACCATCTGAAGTGGGTGGGTAGTCAGGGCCAGGTGGGAACAAAACAGGAACCACTGTCCCCGTGAGATTTGTGGCAGAAAATGACACATGCTCCATCGTTAAGTAACCAAGTCTATACATTGGTTAGAACTAAAATGTAGCCTAATATATATATATATTAATTGAGAATAAAAAAGTTAAAGCATTTTAACTTTACAGGTGAATTGACCAATTCAGACAGAATTTGAGGGTCGGAATATTAAAGAACAATGAAAAAGGATCAGGGGAAGCCTGTGGCTAAAAATGAACAAAGTCCGTTTCTGAATTAACCAAGTCTGGTGTGCAGATGATTTCTGATGTGTGGCAGAGTGGGTGCGGGGGCATCGTAAGACAATTGAATGATGGGAGTGGGCTTTTAATGAAAGAGAAATTAGTGTGAGTAGGGCATGGGAGACCCACTCTCTGAATCCATCCTGGCGGGTCCAGAAGGAGAAAGAAAGAGAGGGTTAAATGACACCACTTTCTCATAAATCCTAAATGAAAAGCAGACATATATACATATAATTTCCAATCATCCTAATGAGTCTTGAGAATGCATTATTAATAGGCTGTCACGTAAATAAAGGATTACGGTCTCTTCACCCTGTTGCACCATTAGAAAAACGGCCTCTGGAGGCATGCGACCAGTTCCTCCCCTACATTTCACATATTGCACAGACTTCCAAAATTTTCACTCCTGATCCCATCTCTCTCACCTATAACTATAAAACACGTTAAGAGACTCATGAATCGGAGACATTCTTCTCCTCCCACTGCTGGCACTGCTGGAATCCTGGTGCTGTAGGATGGTTTGACCCCCAAGTGTGTCTGGGGAGGTCACTCCACCTGAAGGGTGAGTCACCACGTGGTCCTGGGGGTCAGTGACTCTGAGGCCTCCCCTCTCTGCACTGACTTGGTCCCTGGGCACCATCACCGTGTTCACAGCTGATTCTTATTAATGTCATGGGAGCACTGAGCCATCAGAACACAAGGCATCATTATAAGAACAACTGAACTTTTCTCTGTGCCCCGAATGCACGACACATTCTGATCATCCTCAGGTAATGGAAAGCCCTGTGGCTACCTTGAATAGCAAGCAAGATCTCAGTTCATTAATCAGAGTTGTCTAGCCACGGAGAAGAAGCAAACTCTGGTCTCTCACCCAGTGGAAACATGTCCTCTTCCAGCCGTTTCTTTCTTTCTCACACTCACCTCCCTCGCCGCCTCCCTGCTTCAATGAACTGACTGGTGTTATGGACTTGGGCAGGGGTGGCGGGGATGTGGGATATTCTGAGTTGACTTGTACTGTCCTAGGATGGCCTCACACTGGGCTGAGGATGATCAAATCTACCCTTTTCCTCCCGGAGGCTCTTCTGCAATGGCTCCAGCTGCAGCTCTGGGGCCGTCACCCAGCCCGTGGTTTCCAGCACCCACTCCTCCTGGACCCACAGCCTTGTGGGCGCTCCCCTGAGCTGTGTTCGAACAGCCCCACGTGCATGTCCACAACAGCCCTGGAGCAGTAGGCACGAGGTCCCCGCTCTGCCTCTGGACATGGGTCCCAATGAAGCAATGACCCTGCACTGTCACCAAAGCATCCACTCTCTCCTTGTTGCTGGATTTTCCGGGTGACATTGGACATCTGTGCCCCAACCCTGTCACCGACTCCAAGGTGCACACACTGAGACTGCTGAGGGGTCCTGCTTGGAGCACCTCCCTCAGGACTTTTGTAGAGAATTGGCATCTCCTTCTACCCTCACCATCTCAGGGTCGAGGGACAGACAGAAGCACCGCCCTACAGAGAATCCCCTTCACACTCCCTCCTGTCGTCTTCACCGTTTTGACCCATTTGTGTCCTCCTGGACCCATTGGCAGATCTCTACATGGTTTCCCGTCGACTGGAAATTTGTACACTTTTGGCCAGAACCTCGTTTTGCAACGTCACACTGACCTGCTCCAACTTGGGTTCTCATGACACTTGGATTTAACATCTCTGCACTGACTACAGGTGGGAGGAGAGATAGACGCTGCCTCTTGCATGTAGTTCTCATAAGGAGCCATGTGCCAACCCAGCGTGGATGTGGCTGAAGTTTGCACCATCTAGGGGCACCGCTCACCTGAGAACGGCCTCCCCGGGCTTGTGCGTTCTGAGGTGCTCACCTCTGCCCGTAGGGGCCTCTTCTGCTTTGAAGGCTCCACTCATCCCCACAGGAGCAGTCCATCAGCAATGACATTTGCTGCGTATATTTGCTGTCCGTAGCTTATTAATTTTGATTAATACAAAAAAATCCTTTCTCAAAGAAAGCCCATCAGTAAATGACAAGATGAGAACAAAGTCCACATCCCCAGTTAAATCTTCAAGATATGTGGCCACACATGTGCTTTGCATTCAAACCATCGTTATCCAAGGCCACCAGCAAGGGCGCTGGTTTTCACAAGCTTACGGGGCCATTTCCCCCACAAATATTAAACTTTCCCCAGGTTATCTTCACGGACGTCTGAGGAGGGAGACCATGGGAAAGAATTCATTACAGAAACCCTTCTGCATCTCTTACTCAGAGTGACACCATTTTGGAAAGACCTAGATTTTTACCATTGTCTTCTCCTTGTTTTATACGCAGCGGTGCTAATATCAAAAGGTTCCTGGTGAGCTCTGTGAGATCAAGTTATTCTTGGAGGAGGGGCCGGTCCTCATTTCTTCAAGTATCTTTAGCGTGTCCCACAGGGCCTGGCCAGTGCAGAAGCTCCGTAAATGTTTACTGACTGAAGGAAGTAAATACAATAACTGTGCAAGTTTGAGATTTTCCCCAGATATCAGTTGATGCTTCATTATTATTATTCTTTTCACTCTCGCTAAGCATGCATTTAGCCTTTATTATGGACTTACAGTAAATTACAATAAATTGAATGGTTCTATGGTGCTAGGTGCTGACACAAAAGCATGGCAGACACGTTTCCTCCCTCAGCTTGCAGTCTGACGGTAGCGGCTGGTAAATAAAACCAAAGTCACTGTCACTGCTGATGGGGGAGGAGCCTCTGGGTGCTCAGGAGGGGGATGTCATGCCGAGGTGGCCCCATGGAGGTGACATTGAAGCAGAGGGGGCTCTGAGGGAGGGGGACCGGGGATGGGCAAGCGTAATAAGGGTTGTCTGACTGCTTGTTGTATACATGGATGACCAGCTATTTCCCTAGAAATTCTGACTCGTTGGATATTGGTAGGGGCCTAGATGTCTGTCATGTTTTTAAAATGTATGTTCCATGAGATTTTTATCATCGGGGACATGAGGAGACCTTTGTCAGCCATGATTGCATTGAATGAAGCACTACGCTTCTCTGAGTCCCCGTTTTCCTGTTTGTAAAATGATAAGAGGGCTTCCCTGGTGGCGCAGTGGTTGAGAGTCCCCCTGCCGATGCAGGGGACATGGGTTCGTGCCCCGGTCCGGGAAGATCCCACATGCTGCGGAGCGGCTGGGCCCGTGAGCTATGGCCACTGAGCCTGCACGTCCGGAGCCTGTGCTCCACAACGGGAGAGGCCACAACAGTGAGAGGCCTTCGTACCACAAAAAAATAAAATTAAAATAAAATTTTTTAAAAAAAGATAAGAAACAAAACCGCCCACGTGACAGAGCTTTTCAGTCCTTATTTAACTTGATTCTCCAGGTCATCGGATCCTGGGGACCATTTCCTTATCCTTGAAGCTCTCCCCACCGTTGTTTTCCAAATCCGAACACTTCCTGGCCTTTCCTCTGTCTCACTCATGGTCCCCTTCCCCTCTCCCCACCAGCTTCTCTCAGGGGCCTGCAGGCTCCATCTGCAGCCCCCTCTACTGACTCCAGACTTTCGGCAGCTGTGTCAGGAGCTCCTGTGCTCCATGTGTCATCTCCATACAATGAGCCGACATCTGTACCTTCAAACCTGTCCTCTCTTTAAACTCCAAACCCGTATCTCCATGGGACAACTGGACGGGACCTCATTCTTGAGTGTCCCAAAGCCCCTTCCACGAAATATCTCTACAGCTGAGCCCACCACCTCTCCCTCAGCCCCCTTTGAGATTACAGCTGGCCCTCTGTACCCCAGGATGGGGAGCCCGTGGATATGAAAGGCAACTATCCTCTGACCAATTCCCCAAATTGCTCTAATCCTTTCTCCTTCCAATACGTATTCCATTGTGTGGCCAGGGTCTTCTTTCCAGTCTGTAACTAGGATCGTGTTCATCCTCTTCTCGAAAACTTTTAAAGCTCTCTCTCATCCTCACAGTCACTTGATCTGGCCCTGTACCACATCACCATTTCCTGCCCTAGACACTTGAACCACCGGGTGGGCTGCCAAGTCCTCTGAATGGACTCAGAGCCCACTGCTCTCAAGATGGACCACCTGCGGCTCCGAGGATGGTCACCCCACGCTCCCCTCACCTGTGTGGGCTGACACCTGCAATTCCTCTGTCTGGCCAGCTCCTGTTTGTACCCCTGGCCTCAGTTCAGATCTAACGCCCTCTGGGCCATCTTCTCTAACCCTGGATTAGATGTTCAGCGGTGGCATCAACACCCACAACTCGGCTCAGCGCACCCCCGCCATCAGGTGTCATGGCTGTCTGTTGCAGTTCTCACTTGCACTACCTGGGTGTTTCTTGAGGTCAGGGAGCTGCACGAGATGTATGACCGTGAACCTAATTCGTTAATTAACTTAATAAAATGTATCATCTTTTTCTATCACTCAAAAGATTAAAAATCCTATGTCAATTCATCGTACTGTTTTTGCACTCAATGCCTTAAATACATAATAAAAAAATAAATAGACTTAATTTTATGGGAGCTTGAATAGGATTTGCTTTTTAGCACCCCAATTAGCAGGACACTTGCTGATGACGGAGGAGGAGTCGGCCCCCGTCGGCCGGCCAGTCAGAATATCTTGCTAAAATGTAACTTTTGTTATTTGTTATGTTTGTGACTGTAGTTTACAGGGCACTTCCTTGGACAATATTTCTTTCATCCTCAATTCTGTAAGCAGCTCCTACTGCTGTACTGTTTCAACACTTGACTCTCAGAGAGGTTCCATGCCTTGGACAGTGACAAGTAGTTAAGTAGAAGAGTCGTAGGTAACAAACTGCAGAATTAATATTGTCTTGGTGTCTCCACACTTCTTGTTGTATAGCTTTGTAAGCCCAACAGGTAGCCATACCTCTCTGAGTGCTTGGCACTTGGTACCTGTTCAGTTTTATCAATTGCATTCTTGTGGTTATTTCTACCCGATCATACTAAATGTTTCTATGATATCAGTTTAACAATAGTCGGATATTATTTTAACGATATTCAGAATAAGTGAGGATTTTCCATGACTGAATAAGATGGCAGTGCTTCTGTACTGTTCAATGAACTGCAAGCTCTGAAGAAAGGTTAGAAATGAGTGGGCATCTAACCTGATGGAAAAACACACTCATGGTCTCAAAGCAAGTTGAAGTCATTGCCTTCCTGCTTTACACCTGCCCCTACCCCAGATCCTGTCTCGGTTGGGGACTGCCATCCTCTCAGGGCTCTGGCTCCCAAGCCTGAAGCTGGGAGGCATCTCCCACACTTCCTCCCTCGCCCCCCAAACCACTCAAAGCTAATCAGTCTTCAAATCCTGCTAATTTTACTTCCCGCCTCAGACCCCCGACTCCTCCCCGTGTCTGCCCCACTACCCCAGTTTGGGCCCCTGTCATTGTTCTCCTGGACAACTGCAGTGGGTGTGAGCTGGTCCCCTGACCTCTGGCCCAACCCCACTGATGCACCTGCATTCCTCAGCTACACTATCTAAATAAAATGCAATATTTCCCTAGGGTTTCCCAGTGGAAAGCCCTTCAGCACTCTCTGCTTTCTGCAGGAGGGGTTCATGTACATGGTTATAAAGGGTCCATCAAAATGTGGCTCCCAGATGCATGTGCAGCCTCCCTTTCTGCTGCTGTTCACTGCTGTTGAGTCCAAAATCTCCAGCTGTTTGGGGTCACCTGCTCCTATCATGCTACTTCATGCTTTGCTGCCTTTGCTTGTATATCCTTTACCTGAAATGCACTTCTCACCTTTCCTGGCCTGGCTGGCTTCCTGCATCCTTCAACGCACAGCTCAGGAGTCATCTCTGCCAGGAGATGTTCCTGAAGCTCCAGATTGGGCCAAGGACCCCCTGTGGGTGTTCTCACAGGAGCCTGTTCATCCGTGTAGTTTGCCGCTGCTACGTTATTTGACATCACCTGGTTATACACCTGTCTACCTACAAGGCATGTGTCTTAACATTCAGGGCCATGCCTTGCCCATGCAAGGAACTCAATCAGCCTTTGCTGAACTCAGCAGAACAGGATCAATCAGGTTGCCAGGTTTTGTAGATGTTGTGCCGTGTTGCGTATTTTTGTCCCCATTTCTGATTTTCTGTTTTCAGGTGTCTCTGTTCAACTATGTATTTTTGATTTCTTGGGCTTTTGCTCTGCCGTACACCAAGCTCCGCCGCCTGGCTTCAAGTGTCTGCACTGTCTGGACATGTGTGATCATTGTCTGCAAAATGTTGTACCAGCTGCAGACCATTAAGCCTGAAAACTTTTCTGTCAACTGTTCCTTGGTGAGCCTCAGACATGGGGTTGGTGGGGCAGGGGGGGCATCTCTTTGCCTGGCCTTCAGGGAAGGGATGCAGATACTGGGGGACACACATCCCCAGAACATCCTGTCTGGCCTTCAGCAGCTCAGCAGGTTGGAGGCATTCTGGCCCCCCATCTCTTCTGATGCTGAGATTTCCCCCGTGAAGTGGGTCTTCTCTCCCCCCAACTGTAGCTGAGGGAGACTACTCTGAACTCTCCTAATCCATGAGGCCATTTCTTACTCCCCTTTCTCTTCTTTTCAGCCAAATGAAAACCAAACGAATATACCCCTGCAGCAGCTGAACAAGTCTCTGCTCTACAGCGCCCCCATTGACCCAGCAGAGTGGGTCGGCCTGAGGAAGTCCTCTCCTTTGCTTGTCTACCTGAGGGTAAAGCCCTTGTCACCCTAAGTTTGTGTGTCTGCCAAGTTAATGTCTGGAGCCCTTTCCCAGGAGATGCTAACTTCAGCTTTGATAGGGGCCTCATCCTCTTACATGGCGTTTGCAGTCACCTTCGAAACAGACAACTGAACATTAAAATCAGTATTGCATTATGCTGAAAAGAAATCGATCGAGTAGTCTGAGATCCATTGAATAACGTATGACAAGTATATTCACTGGAACATTATAAAACCACTCAAAGACAGAGGTAGATTGACACTATCAGACACTGAAAGATGTCCAAAATATACTGTAACGTTGAAAAGAAAAGCAAACTTCAAAACACCATACATAGGATGAAGTCTTTTAGACACAAAGAAAAAACACTGAGTAAATTATACCAAAAGGTCAGCAGTGATCGTTTCTGAGAAGTAGGTGTCACGTTACAAGAAATGTTTGCTATCTAAATTCTACAAATTTAACCAAGGGCGTATATTATGTTTAGAGGTAGCCAGATAAAAAGAGCATATCTCTGAAAAGGGAATTTTGATTGCAAGTAGTTGTAACAAACATAAGGAAAGCAATATAGTTCAGATTATTCACATTTTATTCTGATGGATAATCTGAGCATTTTACTTTGATGCATTTTGCTGACAATGCACTTAAAACCTTTGTACTCAACTCCCAGAATCTGAAAGTGCGCTCAGCATCTCATTTTGCTTGGTGTAGCTTTCTAGTTTTTTTCTCATATGGCAGGTATCATTTGTAATGTATGAATGATATCTACCATTAAGAGCTGTTGTAAAGATAAAACAAACTTATATTTGAAAAGGGGGATTAGAATAGTGTCTGGCACATAAGTGTTATCATTTTATTAATAATTGTTATCATCACTATTATTATTTTGTGGTATAATCAGCGTATTTTTCCACCTACTGCTCTCTCTAGCCAGCTTTCAGAGGTGTTAAAAAAATCCGCCCTCTAATGCCAGTCCCACTCGGCAGTTCAGTCTGTCTCCTGGGGTCCTTGTAGGACACTGTACAAGGGTTTCTCACTTTTAGTCGCAAAGAAGGTTGGACGACCCTCCCAAGGTAACTGGACAAGGCTTCCAGGTTCAGTGTGTACTTTTTCAGGAACAGGCATGACCATCACCTGTCTTTGGTGTAGAGGTTCCAGATCCTGTTTTCATGGAAATTAGCCTGATTTGCATATTGGAGATAACTCCACCCTTGTTCCCATAAAACAGGGAAAATGAGCATTGAATTCAAGACTGTATTTTATAGAGGTGGGATTTGATCATGCACTGTTCTTTTAGACACCCAGAATGGAACGAGATGGTATCTCGTGGGGATTGTTTAAATGACCACGTGGCATCACATGCAGTTTACTTGCTTTCCAGAACAACCTCCTGATGCTGGCCATTCTGGCCTTTGAGGTCACCATCTACCGCCATCAGGAGTATTATCGCGGTCGGAACAACCTCACAGCCCCCGTGTCTAAAACCATCTTTCACGACATTACGAGACTCCACCTTGATGATGGACTTGTCAATTGTGCCAAGTATTTCATCAATTATTTCTTCTACAAGTTTGGTCTGGAGGTGAGTCTCCTTGCTGACCTGTTTTCTTTCTTTCCTGTGAAAATTCCAGTGGCTGCTTTTGGTCAGGTGTCCACTGGGGCTTTGTGGCACGTCTCTGTCCCCTCAGGATCCGGGAGGAGCCTAACTGAAGGGTTAGCCTGGCCTGGTTGAAAGTCTCCAGGACCTGGTGCCAGTCCCCTGCTCTGTGGCAGTGGACATGGCCTCTCGGGATCTCTGGTCTTACAGATGTGTGGATGTCTGTTTTGTGCCTTCTGGATGTGTAACCTTAGCCAAAATGCACTGTTTTGACCTGAATGGTGTGGTAGGCCTGCCCTTGATAGAATGTACTTGGAACAATGACGTTTCATGGCGAGATCATAACGGTAATTCCCTCCACCATTTGAAGTGGTTCTTATTGAGAGTGACCTGGTCAGTTTTTCTGTCTTCATGATGCAAACACCCCAAAGAGGCAGCACAGGTGAACACCTGCAGGGACCCGGCCCCAGGAATGCAGGTCTCCACCGCCCGCTCGGGGTGGGCTGCTGACACCACTCCCCTTCCCCGTGAAACCGACTCTCTGCTTCTTTTCATCCTTACACAGACCTGTTTCCTCATGTCAGTTAATGTGATCGGACAGCGGATGGATTTCTACGCCATGATTCATGCCTGCTGGCTGATTGCCGTCTTGTACCGGCGCCGAAGGAAAGCCATCGCGGAGATCTGGCCCAAGTACTGTTGCTTCCTGGCCTGCATCATCACCTTCCAGTACTTCATCTGCATCGGCATCCCTCCCGCCCCATGCCGAGGTGAATGCCCCCCACCGGGAGCCTGCTCAGGGACAGTGGGGACAAGGGCACGGAGGGGTGCCCTGACCCGGCTCCTCCCGCCTCCACCCTGCAGATTACCCCTGGAGGTTCAAGGGCGCCAGCTTCAATGACAACATCGTCAAGTGGCTGTATTTCCCAGACTTCATCGTGCGGCCCAACCCCGTGTTCCTCGTGTGTAAGTGGGGCCGTTGGGATTCCCACTTGCTCGTCCTTCTCCTGGTGGTGCGTTTGTGGGCCCCCCTACCCCACATACAGTCACAGGCTGGTTTCCACGCATCAGCATCCCAGGCTGCTAGTGGCTTCTGCTGGCCCTGTTACATCTGCAGAGTTAATACATAGCATCGGAAACACCATGTTCGCTTTCATGATTTCACTTCCCAATGCACAACCCCGCTCTCCGCCACCACACACCCACCTTCTAGAAGGTGGACTGCAGGGGGAGGCCTTGTTCTGGGCAAATTGCTTGCTTCTTGCTGCCACCGCAGACATACACCTACAGGTGGGCTGGGGTAGCCGGAAGGACGCAGCCGGACCACAGATGCTCCTGAGTGGGGCTGCAGCCCGAGCCCGTCCAAGGGCGGGTGACCATCCAAAGGTTAAGGTCTGGGCACCCGCCGTAGGGGGTGGAGATTTGGTGCTGCCCACCCACATGCGGGTGTAGATTAAAGACAACGCCTCTGGGAGGGGGAACTGTTCTGGGCAGCCGGCCATGAGGGCAGCTCCGTCGTCTCTACCCGCCCCCATCGGCCACCGTCTTCACCTGCTCTCACCAGCCTCCATGTCCTGTATGTTCTGGTAAGTCTGGTTACCAGTGCAGAGGGGGACGGAGAGGACAAAGAAAGCCAGAACGCCTGCATCTACGGCCTGTGAAGAGATAAAGATGATGGAAAGTGCTCAGTGGCCCCTCACAGCTTCAGGGGGAGATCAATGCAGGCAAACATTGTCGTGTAAGAGATTCATGAAGACTAGTCATCGCCTGTTGCTTTCACTCACCGACGAGCATACAGCGTCCAGGGACTCTCCCCTGGGAGCCCTGGAGCGTCTGTGGTCCCTCCTGCGTCCCCGTGGTGGGTGGGGGAGGTTGGAATCCAGGAGGAAGTGAACTCCCAGGACGTAACTCAGGTAGCAGATGAGGAGCCGCTGGTACCCCGTGGGGACCCCTCCTCGCATCCCTAGATGCAGAGGGGGAGCAGGGGGTTTCAGTTCCCGTGTCTGTCTTGCCAGATGACTTCATGCTGCTTCTGTGCGCCTCCCTACAACGGCAGATTTTCGAGGATGAAAACAAGGCCGCCGTGCGGATCATGGCAGGTGACAATGTGGAGATCTGCATGAACCTGGATGCGGCCTCGTTCAGTCAGCACAACCCCGTCCCCGACTTCATCCACTGCAGGTAACGCAGCCGCCCGAGCGCACAGCCCCTGGGAAGGTGCATCCCTGGAAACTGTGCCTCCAGCTCCCCCTGCCTTTCCCGGGGAGCTGACCCGCTGATTGCACCCCCAAAGGCAAGAATCATGGGGCAGGATGGCCCAGTGGTCTGGAAGCCGAGCCTCCCACGTTTCCTCCATCCTCCGTGGACAGCCCTCAGCAGCTCTGGAAAGCAGCTGTCCCTGAACCCCAGGACAGCCCCGGGCCTCACTTGCTGCCCGGGAGCCCCAGAGGCTCCTCCACAGAGCGTGTTGGCTGGTGTTTCCGTGTCCTTCTCACAAGCTTAGTTTTATGATTTCTGAAACTGAAGCAAGTCAGGGCTGAGGAGCGGAGGCCAGGCCTCCTGCAGGAGGAATTAACAGCTGCAGGCAGGGGAGGGATATGTGTGGAAAACATACAGTGTGCTAACGCGCACGTGTTGCACGCGCACACACACACTCAAACACGCCAGCAGCCCAGTTCTACTGACTTCAAGCCACACACATCAGGAGGCCCTGTGGGCGTTCAGATCTCACCCTGGACTGAGTCACTAACATTACCTGTATGATCCTGGGATGCTGAGAAACACCGACATCTTATTCATTCTCCTGTGTGTGAAATCAAGGATGAGTGTAATATATTTTAGGAAAAGAATCATAGAAACATTTAAAAGTGTTGAATGTTTTAGTCTAAGAAGAGTAAAGTTCAAAAGTTCGCTTATGTGACAGTGTTCGTCTAAGGCACAACTTATTCCCTAACGATGCTGGGCAGTGTTGCACGTATTTATCAGAGGTGACTTGTTAACTCCCACAAAATAGCAACTCTTTTATCAAATATCTGACCCACAATTGGTTCTTCTCTGCTTCTTTCCAAATCTGGGAAGAGAAACAACCAAAGCAAAACCTCCAAAACTGAGAGACTGTAATTAAGTGAACGCAGATGGGCCGATGGCCCAGGCCAGGGGAGCCGCAGCAACTACTTTCATTGCGGGAGGATGGAGGCCCGAGCACCTGCCTCCTTCAGGGAGTTATAGTGGAAGAATGGCTGCCACATGTCAGCTGAGGGAGGTGCAGAGAAACTGTTGGACAGAGCCTGGAAGCTCTGGGTCTGCTTGGGCAGAACTACTTCTCATCTGGAGGAGAGATTTTCACCTCTAGCAAAATCTTTGTATTTATTTTAATCCATTAATTTCCAGTTCATGGAAAGGACTCCCTTTTTAACTATTCTCTTGCTCCAGGAGGCATCTGTATCTTAGAATTTCCTCGGCCTCCTATAGAAAGACAGAGAGGGTTTTGAGTACTCAGGTAGTAGGCAGAAAATGGTGCCACTTGTGGGACGTTTGGCCCAAATTCGATGAAAATAAACATGCACATGGTGTTTTCACAAGGTACCACTCTGTCCATCACTAACTGGGCGAGGGTTTCCTGTGGACCAGGCAGTGATCGGTGAGAGAGGAACACAGAGCTCCCAGGCTGGCCTGGACAGAGCCTGCAGACAGAGTCAGGAGGAGAGTGTGAATTTGTTCCTTCCTCAACTAGAGTGTCCCGACTTGATCTGTGCTGTCGTTTGTGTCGTCTTTCGGTTCTGTTTTGCAGATCGTACCTGGACATGTCCAAAGTGATCATCTTCAGCTATCTCTTCTGGTTCGTGCTCACAATCATCTTCATCACCGGGACGACCAGGATCAGCATCTTCTGCATGGGTTACCTGGTGGCCTGCTTCTACTTCCTGCTCTTCGGGGGCGATTTGCTGCTAAAGCCCATCAAGAGCATCCTGCGGTACTGGGACTGGCTGATCGCATACAACGTCTTTGTGATCACGATGAAAAACATACTGTCGGTAAGTGGCTCCGCTGTGTAACACATTTGTGGTTTCAGCGTCAGAGTCAACGATCCGTTCAGTGGTTATTAAAAGCCCGTGGCCCGTCACCCTGCTCTCTTAAAAGCCCCAATAAGATGCCTGCAAACTCAGAATTCAAATGACCGTTTATTACTCGTTGTTTTACCACATTAAGAAGAATCCTTTTTGCTCATTTCCACCCTCTCAAGGACAAGAGGATATGTCTTCATAGGAATAAACTCTAAAATGTATTTTATTAATTCAGATCCATCTCTTCTGAGGAACGATCGGTGATCATTCCTACGACGGGCTGCAGTGTGGCCCTTTTATGAGTTGAATCAGTCATGGGATGTCTTCAAAAATTGGATCATATTGGCTAAAAGCAACTCTTTTACCTAGAAAGGGCTGTGGAAGTGTAAATAGAATGGGCGCGGCTCTCCATGACACCGCTTGGGGTGGGGATGAGGAGGGATGGACCCCTGAAGGCACAGATGTTTTATGAAGCCCTGAGATGAGGGTGGATGCAGGGGAAGCTTTACGGCTGATCTGAGCATCAGCGTCTGGACTAGAAAACAGCTCAGACAGTGGAGGGTTGAGACAAACATCTCCCGTCCCCAGAACGTGGCTGCTTCTCTATTAAATATCCATGTTCCAGGGCACATCGTGGCCACTTCCCTGGTAGATAAACTGCCCACGAATCATGCCGGAATCACATGGATTCTTTTAGGCCACAAAGACACCTTTAAACTATTTATTGTGTCAGGAAATTAAACAACGACCTTTCAGGAGCTGAAGGAGTTAATCCACCCCTACCTCCAGCTTAAAGTGAATCCCAGGGCCTGCTACTCAGCGGCTGTAACTGACAGTGCATTAGAAGAACAGTGATGTACGACTTCCTGCTTCCCCCCTTCCTGGTACTTACCGATGAGCTCACCAGACAATTCGACTGGAAAGCATTTGACTTTTTTATTTGGGCACGTGCACTGCTGTGTTTAGAAATCTGGGGAAGCCAAGTCTATGTAACCAGGAGTATGTATTTGAAGAACTTATTTTGTGTCGTGACCATTAGAATTCTAAGTTTCTAGCTGATAGTCAAAATGATTTTTATTCATCAGTTCAACCCCAGCAGTGTGTGTTTGCCTGCGGGGTGGTGTTGAGAGTTGTTGGAAAGGGCATGAGATAGGACAGGAGGTCACCCTTCCATCCTAAAGCCCGTCTGATGGGCAGAGATCTGCGGCTGGAGGCCGATCCCTATGACTGTTCCTGGAAAGTGTGTGGCTGCAGCATCCGCTCATTCATTCATTCGTCCTCTAAACCTGTGTTGCAGACCTGATCTTTGCCAGGCGCTGTTTTATATCTTGAAGAACTAGAGGTGAATAGTACGCAGATTTTACCCCTAAGGAACTCACATTCTAAAAGAGAAGATAGACTTTCTTATAAATAATTACAGTACACTCTGTTAATGCTCATTGTGACAGTATTTTAGGAAAGCAGTACAAAACAGGATGCCTAATTTCTGGCCTGGGTAAGTTGGGAAGAGGCTTCCTGGAGACGTTGCCATGTGAGCTCATCAGAAACTTGAATTCAGGGGTGTCCAGGGAGACAGAGGTGGGAAGAGATTCCCTGAGGAGGAGGCTATTTTCCCCCCTTGGGATGTGAACTTAACTGTGATAAGACATCACTGTTGTGAGACAACAATGTGACAGTCAACAAAGAAGTCTCCTTTACTCAGAGAATTGGCTGAAAAAGAATTGGCTCGGGCTTCCCTGGTGGCGCAGTGGTTGAGAGTCCGCCTGCCGATGCAGGGGACACGGGTTCGTGCCCCGGTCTGGGAAGATCCCACATGCCGCAGAGCAGCTGGGCCCGTGAGCCATGGCCGCTGAGCCAGCGCTCTGCAACGGGAGAGGCCACAACAGTGAGAGGCCCGCGTACCAGAAAAGAAAAGAAGAATTGGCTCAAAGCACATCCTCTCTTCCTGCTCTAAGAGCTACACCAGGCAGCTTATGTTTGTGACCATCTCCTGGCAAATAGCGTAGGTTTACTACGTCTGACTCTGTCTGACTCGTGAGAGTCAGAATCCCAGTCCTGGATCCGTGCTCACCCGTTTGCCATCACAGAGCCGGGCTGGTTCCTATGGTGGTCTGAGATTTCCTCTTTGAAAAGAGAGGAGCTTCCAAGTTCAGAAAGCGTCACACTCGGGGTTCTCCCCTTGCTCCTTGAGTTTAACTCCCTGAGGAAGTGAAGCATCAGGCGCTCTACCCGGTGGGGACTGGATCTGGGGCCCCATCCACCACCCGACTGGGACTTTGGGAATTTTCGCACGTGTTGGGATTGCAAGACATCAACCTTTTCTCCGGCTGTGGAGCTTCAGGATATGCCTTTCCCCTTTGTTTTTCAGATAGGAGCATGCGGCTATATTGAAAAGTTGGTTCAAAATAGTTGCTGGTTGATCCAAGCTTTCAGCCTGGCCTGCACAGTCAAGGGCTACAAAATGCGTAAGTATGAAAAGCAAATTTGGGAACAAAAGCACAAAGAAGGAAGGGCAGTGTATTGTTCTAATTTAGAAACTGGGCCGAAGCCCCTGAAGGGAAGAGGTGAAGGGACGTGAGTCAGCGTCTGCACGGAGCTGTGGGCTTGTGCCACCTGGGGATCTGTGCTCAGGACACACACCCCCACCGCACCTCTCATCCTCTTCCACAAACGTCCCTGTCCCCCTCCCCAAGCAGGTCTAGGGGGCAGTTGTGACCTTCAGCAACTCCTTGAACTTCCTTGAGTTACAATGGGAAGGGTCACAGATGCCCACACACACCTGTGGCTGCTGCGGTTGGAATCTCGGTCATCAAGTAGCTCTGCCTCCAGACCCCCCCTCCTCTGAAGCTCAGAGAACCTCCACGGTGGGAAGACAGTTGGGAGCAGCAACAGGGTGTCTGGAGTTAGATTCCCACCTGTACAGAGGCAGGAGTTCCATTTCCGCCCCTCTGTGTCTTGCATCAGAACCCTGGACAGCACCTCCATCCTCCTTGGCGCCTAGGATGGGGCCTTGAACGTGAAACCCCTCCCCCAACTCTGCCTTCCAATCCTTACTACACTTTGCAGAGGATGAAGAGGCACTGGAGTTTGTTCTGACTTAGGATCAGATGTTCTGTTGACACCCCTTCTTCCGATAGACCGTACCTGCTCCCCTGGCTACCCCTGGGGAAGCCCATTCCCAGAACATGTGTCTTTTTTGTACCAGAGATTTCCTCTGGCATTGGGACATAGATGTTATTTCTCCATGGCCCTTACTGGGTGGGAGGGGTCCCTTTCCATCCTCTGCCTTACATTATCAAGAGCTCACTTTGTGGTCAGCCTTGTGAATCAGTGCTGATACTGGATTTGAAGTGTGTGCCCTTGGCTGGGAATAAACCCACTCAGAGGGACTCAGTGCATCGGAAGTTTGCTCTTACACCTGTGTGATTGCCCAAGTCTGATCATGCCACGAGGGTTTATAAAATAACAATGAAAATGGGTGTAAGTTTTCATTTTTTTCTTCTTTTTCTTTTTCTTTTTGCCCAGCTGATGATGATTCCTCGTGTAAACTACCGAGCGGGGAAGCAGGGATTATTTGGGACAGCATATGCTTTGCCTTCCTTCTGCTGCAGAGAAGAGTTTTCATGAGTTACTATTTCCTGCACGTCGTGGCGGATATAAAAGCTTCACAGATCCTGGCTTCGAGGTGGGTCAGGCCAAGGAGTCAAGGGGTTTCTCTTAAGAAACCTGTCAGGAAGTGATATTGCACTCTTGATTCCTGTCTGAGCTTGCTTGTAAAACCCACAAGAAATTAAGAGATTCCTTCCAGGAAAACTGATCCGAGAAGGCTTTAGCCCAAGGCCTTTAAGATCTAAAACAGAAGAGTAACAAGCAAGTCTATGGAGGGAATCACACCTTATGAGGACTGGGACACCCTTGAAGGTTAAAGATGGGCTGGTTGTCTGAGCCCCTCGGTCCAGACCTCATCACTGGAGTAGGTCCTCTGGCCTCAGTCAGAACAGGAACATAGGCCACGTCGGTCCAGAGTCTAGTCCGTCTCCCCCCACCCCCCACCCCCACTGCCGCCTCCTTTTTAAGAAGAAACTCCTAAAGACAGAGAAAAACATAATCTGTTATTTTTCAGACCGTAGACAGAGGAGTGTGTTACTCCAGCCTCACCCTAAACCCTTCCTGTTTGTCTTTCCTTATCCCCTTCCTTTCAGGCTCTTCTTCCCCAACAATCTGATTTTTTCCTTCTCTGGGCCAGTGGCACTGTTTATTACTTTCTCCTTAGATTCCCCCTTTTTCCATTTTCTGCCCCCAGTCGTATAGGTTTAGGGAAAAGACTGGGAAGAGACCTAGGTACTAAAGAGGAGGCCATTGAGATGGGGGTCAAAGGGCAGCTGCACGATCCCCTAGAGCGAGCTTGTCTCTGAGACCCTGGCCCTGCCTCAATCCCATGGGACCCATGGTGCTAAACGACCTTATAAATGCTAGCTTGTATCATGTCACTTACCAGTATTGATCATTCTGATTCTCTCTCTACCACCAGTGTTCCCAGAGCCTATTTCTTCTCTGCCAGGAGAAGCAACATGTGTATTTCAAAGGTCCATTTAAAGGCTGAGAATTCCCAGCCATTGTTAACTAACCTGGAGCCAAATAGGATGAGGACCCAGTCGGGCACCTGCATTTTTTTTTTCCACATCTTTATTGGAGTATAATTGCTTCACAATGGTGTGTTAGTTCCTGCTGTATAACAAAGTGAATCAGCTATACATATACATATCTTTCCATATCTCTTCCCTCTTGTGTCTCCCTCCCACCCTCCCTATCCCACCCCTCCAGGTGGTCACAAAGCACCGAGCTGATCTCCCTGTGCTATGCGGCTGCTTCACCCTAGCTATCTATTTTACATTTGGTAGTGTATATATGTCCATGCCACTGTCTCACTTCATCCCAGCTTACCCTTCGGGCACCTACATTTAATCCGAGGAGCCTTGCTGCACCCTCAGCCCTCACCATGTAGATGGACGCTGACTTCATTTAGGGACAGTAGTTTACCATTACAGTTGTCTTCCTAACGCCCAGGACGTCATTTTCAGAGCAGAACATAATGCCTCATCCCAATAGTAACCTTATTTACTTGTATGTAGCAGCCAGTCCTTTTGCTAGCAAATGCATCTCTCTCACCTTCCCCTAAAATTCGGTCCTTAGACACTCCGGACATAATAGTAAGCCAGCATCTTTTTCTCAAAGTTGTCACAATTATTCACAAAGCATAATCTTCCTGTTATAGAAACTGGTGGCTTTGGTCAGAGTACAGCTCATGCTTGTCCAAAAACAACCATGTCTTAATAAGCACTGAACTCACAATGCAACTTCCAAAGACTAGACTAGACATTCATTCATTCACTCGTTTGCCACCTGCTCTGTTATGAGGAGGTGGATGCTTGCCATGCATGCCCTCCTAGAGCCTGCAGATGGGCAGGGAGATGGACCCGTCCACAAGCCGCTGCAGGTGGTGGGACACGCGTGATGCAGGAGGCATTCGGGAACCTGTGTATTGTAGGCAGGTGTGCAACCAGCCGCGGGGCAGGACCAAGGCAGCCTCTATTCCAAGCTACAGCCTGAGGGATGAACAGGAGTGAGAGGAGGAAGGTGCAGGAGGGAGACAGCCGAAGGAGGTTACCGGGGGGTCGGAGCGGCTGGCACACAGACATGTGAAGATGAAGACAGTAAGTGGAGAGAAACAAGCTGCGGGAAGGCCAGACTATCAGGGGCCTTAGAACCACGTTTATGACTTTAGAAGTGGCTGCACTTGCTTTTCAGTGGGCTGCAGGACAGATGGGGTCTAAGCAGGACCATAGGCGAAGGGACCAGGTAGGTGCCTGCTCTGGTGATCCAGGATGGAGGTGATGGCCGGGACCAGGAAGGGATAAATTAAGATAGTTCAGAGGTGAAACTGGCCCAGGTGGAAATCGATTGGTTGGCAGGGAGGTGGTGATGGGAAGGGAAGAGAGGAGGGCACTGTGCCCAGGATTCTGGCCTCAACAGGTGGTGGGGGGACAGCCCCAAAGGTAGAGGGTCTGAGGAGCTCTCAGCCGGGAGCGGAGATGGGCTCTGACTGTGGAGCTGTGGGTCTCATGAGCTTGTGAAACACATGCAGCCCGTCGGGAAGCCCTCGGGCAGCTGAGTGGACGGGTCTGGAGATGTGAGGAGACTTGAGGGTCATCGATACACAGACGGTGTTGGGGCAGTGGAGTGATTGGAGCTGCCAGGAGAGAATGTGGAGGTGAGACAAGGACCCTGGGCAGCAGTCACACCTCAGAGATGGGTGGGGAGTCTGAGCCAGTAGGAGAGCGTGGGCCCGAGGACAGCGGCTTCAGAGCGGAAATTCAGTAGACAAGATACGCAGAGACAAGGCTGAACGCTGAAATCAGTGACCTCGACAGGTGGGGTCAGAGCCAAACACCAGCGAGTTCAGGTTGAGGTGACAGCTTGGGGATGGTGCCTGCAGGATATTTGACTGCAGGGACAGTGATGCAAGGCCATGCGTAGAAACCCGTGCGGTGTGTTCTTTTTCTAAGATCAGCAGACCCGAGCATGGTTGCATGCCTGTGCGCAGGATGCGGTGGGGATGGGAAGGTAGAGATGCAGGAAGAGGGGCTGAGAGGGAGGGCCAGGGCCCCTCAGGCTGCGGATGGGGAGGCGCTGGCCACTGGCGTGGGCTGTCACCTTCTCCACGTCACCGCAGGAAAGGCCATCTGGGGTGGGTGGCAGGAGGCTGAGAATCATTGCCTCGTGACTTTGTTCTCTCTGGAAAGCACGCAGCTGGGTCGTCTGCCAGGAGTGAAAAGCCCTTGACAGAATTCTAGTTTGAGGAAAGTGTAAGGAGCTTGAAACAGCCGCTGTAGAAAAGCAGAATTTCCGTGGCATGGGGGAGGGGACAGTTCACCAGATCCTCTGCCCAGCCCTGCATTCCTGCACCGCTTCCGCCCCGTCATCAGGCAGCACGGGACCGGCATCCCAACGGGCTCCCGCAGACGGGATGGACCCCAATGGGACAGAGCTGAGGATACGAAGTTGATGAGCTCTAGGGGACCTGGAAGTGGCTTGAAAAGTGAGAAGGAACAGAAGGGAATGGAAGGACAGGAGGAAGAGAATCAAAGGGAAGGGGCTGGACGGCCCATCCCATTGCATTTCCCCTCACGAAGCCCCAGCTTGCTCCATGCCCTTTCCTGCTTACTGAGTAGAAAATGAACCTGAACTCACCCCTCCTTAAATGTCCCCTCATGGGACGACCATAATGAGGGCAGGTCAGGGGCACAGGCTTTAAGAGGCTTGAAGGGGCCTTGACAGTCTCAGAAAACACACACCGTTTTCTTTTCTCTTATCCTCAGGGTTGTGAGCAGCCCCTCCCGCCAGGGGAGGCAGGAGGCGGTGCGTGTCCATCCACAGGGAAGGGACTCCCACTCCCAGCCAGGCAGCTGCCCCCAAAGAATTGTTTTCTAGCCTTTAGTAACCGTTGTCAGGGGAAGGTGGGTAACACCGATAAAAATGCTCATTTGTTCCATGTTTCTGACTTTCTTTTAGGGGGGCTGAACTTTTCCAGGCCACGATTGTAAAGGCTGTAAAGGCAAGAATTGAGGAAGAGAAAAAGTCCATGGACCAGCTTAAGAGGCAGTAAGGATGCTTTCCTTTTATTTGGGGTTTGCCTGGTCCCATTCTGCCAGCTCTCAGCTCCCAGGGAGCCCCAAGCCCTGAGGAATCCGTTTGTGGTAACTTTCACAACTGCCCACGTGTTTGCTCTGGGTGTTGACTGAAATGGAAATGGTCCAAAGGAGGAGAGCATGGGGTGGGGGGAAGGGGGCCGCCATGGGCGGTCCTAGTTCAGATGCTTACTCAGGAGCCTTGGGCAGGTCTGCCGAATTCTCTGAATTCCAGTTTCCATTTTTAAATCAGGACTCACAGTTCTACCTGAGTATTGGTAAAGATTAAACAGTTAGTGAATGAGACCGGGTCGTTCCCAGTAATACTCACTTGAAGTCCATCATATCTGTGGGTTAAGTGAACAAATACAGAGTTCTCACTTTGGAAGGATCTTTAGAGATAATGTAATCCAGTCTGCTTGGGAAGAAACTGATGACCCATGTAATAGATGACTTAAAATCCACAACTAGGGCTTCCCTGGTGACGCAGTGGTTGAGAGTCCGCCTGCCGATGCAGGGGACGCGGGTTCGTGCCCCAGTCCGGGAAGATCCCACATGCCGCGGAGCGGCTAGGCCCGTGAGCCATGGCCGCTGAGCCTGCGCGTCCAGAGCCTGTGCTCCGCAATGGGAGAGGCCACACCAGTGGGAGGCCCGCATACTGGATAAAAAAAAATCCACAACTAACCAGAGGCAGTACTAGAAATACACCCCGAATTTCCCTGTATCCAGTTCAAGGCCTCCTTTCCCACCACACCATTCTGGAGAACTCAAGTAATGGACTGACTCCACCCAGGAGATCTGAGAATTCTTTCTTTCTTTCTTTTTTAATTAGCCCACTGAAAATAATTATTCTCTTAGAGTGAAATTTCTAGCAGTAAGTGGAACCTCTGAGGATTGCTAGTGCCTCCCATGTTTGGGGCCAGGTTTAACAGCTGATGGCCATAGAATTCAAAACCTAGCCACTTTCTCTAAGGAAATGGAGGTACTCTGTCAGCCCACCAGGAAAATTCCCTGAGTTTGCTAGGACTACTTAATTCCATCCTGACCTCATTTTTCCAGCTTCTTTCCCTGTGCAAAAATATTTGCCAGTAAAAATTACACTATCCCATGGCATGGTTATTTTCACAATCAAAGATATGAGTTATGTAAAACTATAATGAAAATACAGTATGGTATAACTATTACTATTGTTGTTTCTAGCTATCTAAATCAGGTGTAGAGAAATAACAAATTTGAACCCACATGTAGAATGTGTTCTGAATTTCCCGTGAGACCTGTTACTATAATTCACGTCACTGGATTTTTCCATTTGTTTAAGAATGCATCCTCTCAAGTGAGAGGTGAGAATAAAAAAGAATGAAGGCAGTGATCATTGCAAAAGACAAATACTATTTAAGCTGCCCAAAACAGAAATGTCACTTAAATCGGTTTAAAAACTTGGGCAATACATTCAGGATTTTAAGAAACTAAATTAAGAAATGAAATCTTTCACGAGGGCAGATGTGAGAGAAAAAGCTCAGCATTGCGGTTTCTGAATAGACTTCCTGAATCAACAGACAAAAAGCTGCAATTCAGCATTTTTCCAGATCCAATAAGAGCTTAGATTTGACATGGAGAAGAGTCGCAGGGTCTGATAGAATACTCGAGAACATTTGAGGAGCAACTTCCTATTTACAAAACAGTTCTCACGCGCATACCTCTTTTCACCTGACCTTCACGACAACTATGTGAGGCAGACAGTATCTAAAAAGATAATGCAAAACCTGGGAGAATAAAGGGTTTCTATTTCATAATTTGCTGTGTTCAGAATGGCTTTGGTACAAGGTATAAGTGGACTTAAAGTATTTAGCATAATTACTATTGATCATGATCGAGCTAGCACCTGGGTAGTGCAAAATAACCTGGGTATAAAAAAAAAACCAAGGAGACGTGTCGCTAATAAGTAAGCATCCACAAGTCCCAAATGTTGACCACTTTGTCCATGATTTTAGCTGTTTGCATAAAAGTGTACAGGTAACTATGGGTGTGTTCTTGGCATTGCTGCTGCTGTTTTGTTGTACAGGATGGATCGCATCAAGGCCAGGCAACAGAAATACAAAAAGGGTAAGGAGAGGATGCTGAGCTTGACTCAGGAGTCAGGGGAAGGCCAGGACATCCAAAAACTCTCTGAAGAGGATGATGAAAGTATGTTGAAACATTTCCTTCTTAGCCCAGAGTACCTTGATGTTGAGTAAAAGCATGATATTGGGTAGGGCTGTGAAATAATGTTACTTTTCCTTCTGCCAGTTTTATCCATGTATCTTTTTAACTCAGCAAGTTTTATGTTCCCATTGTGAGTGGGATGTGTTTGTTTGTTTCATAAAGTACATATTTAATGAGTCTGTGACTTTACAAGTATCCCCCCAGTTCAGCAAGACGACTTTAATATAACCTAGCTTCTGTTTCACGGACGTGTGATTCTGAAGAAAATAGGATGAGTTTGCTTCATTTGTTCCTTTAGGGAAGCTATTTAAGATATGCAGTCTACTCTTGCCTTTGATTTCTATAAATTTTATACAAAAATTAAATATGTAGGTCTCTGAATAATAGTACTTAAGATATCATTCAATTATGGTCTGTTCCAATGAAACTTAAGATGAAATACATATTTATTATATCTAATTATAGATTTGTTATATCCAGTTAAGTTTAAAAGCTCTTTTTAAAGATGTTTGCATGATGGTTTTCTGTTTGAAAGGAATGGAGAAACAATGCATGGTATTCTGCCAGTGCATAATATCTATTTATCAACAGTAAATTTATATTTTTCCAACCATGCATTAAAATGATCACAAGAGAAATTTCTGGTTATTGGAATTATGCATTTTAACAAATTATTTGCCACTAAATTGTTCTATAATATTTGGGTGATGCTTCTTTTCTGTTAATTCCATGGAAAATTTACTGTGAGATGCATTTTTGACAGATAACCCCTTCATTATTATATTTCTTCATATGCCCTCAATTCCTAGAGAGAAAGTGAAAACGTGGCGTTATGTTAATAGAATGCTGAGTATTTACCTTGTGAAATCGGCTGCTGACCCATGGAAACTTTTCAGATTCAGTAGAGTTTCTTTTCCTGACTTCTGATGTACTTTTGCAACTTGTCTAGATTTTGACAATTGAGTTGTTAAAGCGTGGTTTTCAAAGTTTGTTTTCTCACTTTCTAAGAATTAATATTTGGACATATTTTATTTTAGGAGAAGCAGACAAACAGAAAGCCAAGGGCAAAAAAAAGCAGTGGTGGCGGCCTTGGGTTGATCATGCTTCCAGTAGGTTTTCTTGATCCTCTTACAATTTCATCGATTCTAACCCTTATATCCTTGACCAGAATTCAGGCGTCCCCATGACCTGTGTGTCCCATGCATGGTTTGACGCTTGTGACTTGATAGGGGGTCAGAGGGTAGGAACTGTGATCTCTGTGGGTCTCTGAGCCCGACAGACGGAGTCGTCCAGAGCAATCAGCTGATTACCCTGTGGCTTACGTGCTCCCAAGTACCACTTACAGGCTCAGAAAGGGAAGAGGGATTGATTACTGTATTATCCAAGTCTGAGGTCCAGAGTTCTGCTGAGATGTATTTGTTTCATGGCTGAAAGCCCTTCTTAAAAATGAGTTTCAGCTCTTCCTGGGACTCTGCTTTAAGGAGAACCGCTATATTCGGAGTGTCCATGACCCTCTTTGTAAGGCACTTGACGTGAATGCCAACGAGCACCAATGCCCTCCCTCCCCGCTGCCCCATTCCCAGAGCTTTGATTCCATTTGCATGTAAAATTTCTGGGCAATTTATTAAACATAAAGATGAGGACCTTAAAACACATTTACTTTCTCACCCTGCCTCCTTCCCAGTTTCAAAACAGCTCTAAAACTACACTCTAAATTCAATGCCCAACATGTGGCTGGCCTCAGAGGCACCCGCAGCTCAGCCAGGACCAATTCAGAGCAAAGTCAGAAGGTGGTTTTGGAAAAGCAGAGCCTCATAGCCACACAGAATTGGAGCATTACCCCGCTGATCACGAGAAGAAAAAAAAAATGGATGAGGAATCGTGGAACTCAGTGGCTTTAAATGCTCCGCTTGGCAAAGGACACAGCACTCACTATTGGCGATGGTATTCTAATGGAACGATCCATTTCAATCTGGCCCTCCTTGAATTTGTTAGAATATTGAATAATGATTAATTATCTTGCAAATTACTCAAAATGTCTTCAGCCGTTTGCGTCTTATGTCTCGATTACTGTAGCTAATGTAATCACGAGTAATATCACCAAGGTCCGTAACATCAGCAGGGTGATATTCAGAATCACTAGAAAATCACAGATCAGAATCCTTTCCCTCACCTAATTCTTACTGTCATTTAGATCTGGTATTGGCCTTTCACCCAAGAAATAATTTCCTAAAATCAGCAAGCCCATTTGAGGAAGTGATATTCAAAATTTGCTCAGGATACCTGGATGTAATCAAATGTAATCCCAAATATTGAATTTTAGCATTATGGTATAAAAAAAATCCATGAGTTCTAAAGAGTTTCATTTTATTTGCTGCTCAAGTCCAAAGACAAAGATTCAAGTTGAAATTCCGTGTGACTCTTACGGTCCACTGGCGTGTCAGTCATGCTAACGATCTCGTAGTGCAGATGCTGTGTGCCGATTTCTATCAAGTCACAAGTAAACTGTGCCGATCTTTCTGTTTTAAAGGGCCCTTTGCTAATTTAGAGAGACCTATCCATTTCAAAATGGTGTCATACTGATGTTTTGTCCTTTCGTCCGGGGTTACATTCCTACTGCAATCGTTGTGGTTCTTTCCTTTGCTCATGTAAACATTGCATTTTGGAAGGAATTGGATATGGTCTTTGATCATCACCTTATGAGTTGGTTATCCTTGAAAGAACTTCTTCTGAAGGTTATTGACTTTAGATTTTCTGATTCATTTCACCCTCATTATATCAAGTTCTTGAAGGCTGGTATTACACTACCTGTGCCTGTTACAAGACTTCCAGTGCAATAATGCTGGGATGTGTGCCACTCATAGTTTGGAATCAGAGTCTGACCGTGGCGTTAAAATTTTTCTACAAAACATATTCCTTTTTACCAGCTGGTGAGGAAAGGAATTGACATGAGGTTTATTTTGTAGACCGTGATGATTTCCAGAACTTGCCTGGAAGCACTTTATTGAAAGCCCTTTTTCTGATCTCTCTTGAGTCACTGGGCTTTTAAATATTCCTTAGAGGTGGCAAGTGTCTTTGGAGTGCCCTTGTGTAAACCCATTGACGACGTAATAATGCTGTTACGTTGTTCATATTATGGGTAAGCATCTGAGATGCTTAACATGGTCTGTAGGGGACACCCTCTCAGTTCCATATCTATGTGCACACAAACCATTGCATCATTGCTGTTCAATGATACCTTCCATCCTCGTGTAGTGGGTCTCCGTGTCAATTCTGTATAGCCTAAGTCAGTGCCAAGTGTCACTTTATTGTCAAATATCTGAACTAAAGGGCCAAGTTCCTTTGGGATACAGGTGGTGGGATTTTAAAAGTCATTTTCACACTCAGCCGTCAGCATCAGCATTCATGGTACATATATGGACCCAGGCTGGGGCAGGATAGCTATCAGAACCCAGAAACGTATATATAAGAGCTTCTCTACTTGTTATTAGCAGATAGAACTTCAGAAAATAGTCTCTATTTCCTAGTTTTATTTCAATAACAATTTATAAAGGAATTGGAGACTTCTAAAATACTTCCTTCTTTTTTTGATGTGTTAATTGTACTTGTCACATACAAATTGGCAACATTTTTCAAATAATAAAAATCAGTGTTATGACTGTGATGAAAAATGTTTGGACTCAGTATCCACATGAAAAAAAGTTATTGAAGGTATGATTGAACACAGTTGAAGCTATTGTTGATTTTAGAGGCTATAATGAGGGTAAAATGTTCGATATTGCAAATCTTGGTTTTTACTAAATGACCACATGACGTCAAGTCCATGTGACTTACCCTCAAATCTCTGAGCTTACCTGAAGCATTACTTTCATGGTCACCCTCACTGTCCAACAGAATGCTGTGACTTTGGTTTGTTCTTGCTTATTCTTACCTTATTTTGAATTGCGTTTATTTCCTCAGGCTTAGGCCCAGTCCTCTGGGCCTGGTTCTTTCTTCAAAATAAAAATAACAAATTACAGTGCTTCTGTTCAAGGATATAAGGCCCAATTCATGCACACTGCATCTTCACGATGGAGCCTTCAGATTTGTCTGAAATCTGGGCAAAATTATTCACTGTTGTGTTTAGTGATATTCAAGCAACTAATTTTCAACAAGCCAAGGTTCCCCATGACCTTACAACGGAGAAGTCCAAAAGATAAATAAAGACATCATGTGATGTCATCCAAAAGACACCTCAGCATTTGAAAACACAAATGTAACTTGAAAATATGAATATGTTTTCCTGCAATGATGGTACAGTTCTTGTAGCATCAGAAATGCACATGCTGGGTCTCTTTTCTCTGATACAGTAATGATCAAATTGATAAAGATTCCATTCTCAAACTTCTTTAACTCTCTGAACATTTCAGCTCTCTCTGCTCCCGTGCTTAAGACAGCAGTATGTCCCGGTAGGGACAATGTCAGGCAAGGCAAGGACGATCCATACTGTTTGTGCTTTGGGTCTTATGGTCGGCACAGTTCTCCTCAAATTTCAGTAAGTGACTGAGGGCTCCTGGTTGACCAGAAGCCTCACAGCGCTAAACTGTGTGGACCATGTCTGCCGGACCTCCATCTGTCCCATTCTAGGCGTAGAAACAGCCAGAGTGTGGTGGTGGTGCTCTTTTTTTGATGTTACCTGCCCATTTGCTCCTCATGACAATGTGTGATTTTTTAAAAAAAACTCTTTCAAATGTCTTGCCATCTGTGTTACGGCCCCATGTCTGCACAGTATAAAGTGAAGGAGAAGGCTGGTGACACTGATTCTTGCTCCTGAATCATCCTGATTAGCTTTGCTACAGCAGTTTGGACCCATTCAGACAACAGCAAAGCCTCTGCTTCACTTTGGCCTTGCCTAAAGGCCCCAAAGTGCTGAATTGTGACACGATGATAGTTTTCAGTCCTTTGGCCATCTTGGTAACCAAGGCGGTTGCCGCAGAGCTGATCTGGTGCATCTGTGTAAAATTTGCTATGAAAAAGGAAGAAAACGCCAGATGAATGCAGCTGTGGCCAGGTCTCCTCGGAGGCCTGGACGAGGCCTGGTGCTCTGCAGACCACATAGCACCCCCTCATCTCCTGTTTCCTCCACCCCACCAACGTCTCTTGCTGTGGTCCTTTGAAGGACAATTTGTGTGTCTTTGGGGGCATTTCATTCATACGCCCCCAGTTATCTCATATCTCTTCCAAGAAATAAGTAAATATTTTGTTTTGCTTAGTGGTCAGGAGTGGAGATTACTATTTGTTTGAAACGGACAGTGAAGAGGAGGAAGAGGAAGAATTAAAAAAGGAGGATGAAGAGCCTCCACGAAAGTCAGCTTTCCAGGTAATTACGGGGATGAGGGAATCACGGTCTTTGCTAGTTGAAGAGTTTTTCTTTTTGACAGACCTTGATTGCAGGCCTAGATTTCTTCTGCCGTGTTCATATGTTGTAGCTCCCAGAAGCGTCCGATTTACATCTGAAACAGTGTGTCCCATCCTGCTGCTTGCTGTCAGCGTTGCCATCATTACCGCAAGAGTTCCTGCGGGAGCACTGGTCCAGCCAGGGCTTCGTTCATTTGCATAAAAAATTCTGATGCTCTATCAAAACTAAGGCTTCCTTGGGTGAACTTTCCTTTGCTGGCATTGCTTTGTGTTGTTTGAGTGGACTTCTAGTTCCATAGGTGAAATAGTTGACCATGAAAATAAAATCCCTGCTTTGTTGTGAAAATAAACGGTCATTTCAGTGTTACTTCAAATTTTGAAAATCAGTTCCGTTTGTATTGCTAAAGATTTTAGAATGTATTAAAATCATGAAAACCTCCAGCCCAGTTTTGACGTTCTCAGCTTAACTGCCTTTCTTTTTCAGAGCCTGCGGTATCATTCTTGGCGATAGGACTCACCAGCCTAGTATCGTGTATCCAGTGAATGTCTAGTGCTTGTTAAAGTCAGTAGAGTTACCTATGGGATGAAAACTTGGTATAGATTTCTGTTACAAAGGAGCGTATACAGGACTCTTCTTTCCCATTTGTTAGACTACAGGGCACACAGAAGGACGTCCATCCAGGCTCATGATGTGTCCATGAGAAGGCCATTGTCAGCTTGCTGGCCAGGTCTTCCCAAGCTGGCAGGTTATCTCCACCCCTGTCTTCCCAGTGAAATTGAAGAACTAAATTATTCACCGGGACACCTTGCTTTGAGGCTTTGTCACCGGCCCCATTGCCTCCTGTGTGTGTTTCTTGATGACAGTGTCTATATGCATGTCTGTAGCTGGCTTATCGAATCCTAATAACTTGACTTGTTTATTTTTGTATCAACGAGTTTTCTTCTAACCATCACTCGTCATGCAGCAGAGGAGAGAACATGACCATCTTCACCATTTTTACAGATTACATGAACGATAGGCTATTTTCTTTATTCCTAACCTACAAGCAGGGTATATTTGATTCCACATTCAGTGATGAGCACGTTTTAACTTAGTCGATGTAATTATAGAGACAAACTCATACCAATGTCATATATTAAATGATCAGTTTTTGGTTTTTTTCTACTAATTACTCTTGCTTTGTCCTTCTTTGTAGAGAGCTATTGGGAAGTTTGCGTCAGCCATTTTAGCCTTGCCAAAGTCTGTCATTAAACTTCCCAAAACTATTCTTCAGTATTTAATCAGAGCTGCAAAGGTATTTGATGTTTTACTGATGTGTGGTGTGTGGCCCTCCGCTCTGTAGACCTTTAGACGAGCAGATCCCGTTGCTCCACATCTGTGTTTTCCCTGTTCTATACATCGTATGATGAAGGAATTAGAAGAATTTAAAATATTAGGCAAACTTTTCCAAAAACTGTTCTGAGAAGACAAATTTCTTATTATGTGTTTTTCGGTGGACATCAGAGCCGATTAAAAAAAATAGAAAGAGAAAATGCAGATACAGATCTAATTTCTCCCCTTCTCGTAGTTTCGCCTAAGTCACATCTCGTGTTAAAAGGTCACATCTGGTTGCATGCATCAGGTATGATGTGTCAAAGTATGATCATTTTTCTCAGAAAGCTGGTAAAATTAGGAATCAGTAATAAAAGACTCATTTTGCTCCATCTCCTTTCTGGCTCCCTTTTAAGCCTCCATCTTCCTAAACTGGACTCTTCTGGCATCTTCCGCCCTGCGTTCAGCATCTCTCTTCACTGGGCTGAGCTGCTGTGGAGGTCTACGCAGCCGCCACACTCCATGTCGTCAGGGATGCTGCTGTTACAGTTCTTTGTTAATTCACCCACTGCACAACAGAAAGTATCCGGCTACCTATGCTGTGGTCACTAAGTTACTGGAAATCATAAACAATGAATCGCTATTCTTGTACTTTATAGAAAGCCATTTCTCCTGCCTTAATCTGGAGTAAGCACTTGAACTAATAAAACGTTCCTCCCGGGTTTAGATAGCGAGGGAGACCTTTGCTTCTCGCCTTTCACCTGGGGGTCTTATTTAAGTGCAGGTTATTTAGATTCAGCAGGTCCAGTGGGACCTGAAATTCTATGTTTTTCTCAAGCTCCCAGGTGAAGTGTAAATGCTGCTTTGCCTTGAGTAGCAGGGTCTTGACCTCTGGGCTCCTTCCCTTTTTAAAATGCCAGGATTCTGACTTCTGGTTTAATATTCCCTGTTGCCACTTCCCTGGGTTTCTTTTCCTCTCCCCTTTTATGACGGCACTATGAGTCTCTCCATTCATATTTACGAATTTATATGGAAGACTGCAATGTGATTATCCCCCATCTTACTGTAAAAAAAAAAAAATTTTGTTACTGGCCACAAAAAGAAAGGTCTGGATCATAACTGAATTAAAGAACATTTTAGAAAACAACCAATTTCAGTTAAAGATCTACACTTCCATAAAGTTCTCTCCTGTTTCAAACATTAAATGTATTTTGCATAAGAAGTTTTCAGTCAAAGGAATCCCATTTCCCTAACGTTTACAGTGAGATCACTTAGGGTAGAGTCTGAGATGAAGTTGGGCCAGTGGCAGTAGCAGTTGGAGAAGCCGGACGTCATTTATGCACATTTTCATGTGTTTTTCTCCTTAGGATTAGTGTGCGTGTGTCTGTTCTCCAGAGACACCATGACAGGGGGTGATAGTTACCTCTGTGACTTCAGAACTGAGATGTTTCAGAACGAAACTTAGTGTCTCAACTCTGTAAGAATTGGGATGTTTCCTCTTCCTCCTTCATTATCAACTCTTTCCTGAAACAGTTGGCCTGATCCTCTGTCCGATGTTCCTGGAACTGTAAAATATTTGTATTTCCAAACATCGACATAGAGAGCATTTACCTACAAATGAGGACTTGTCATAAGAGTCTCTCCGTCCCTCCTTTCCCCTTACTTGCATGATCCAAACTCTCATCTCAATGAGAAAGCACCAACAGGATCAATCATTTAAGGACCACACGTAGCACCAGGAATGCCTTTCCAATAAGGCAACATCTGAGTGGCCCGAGCCCTTTCTACGAGACTCCTTCAGTTCTGTCCTGAAGCCACCCTGCTCTCTCCTTCCCACCCTCCCTCCCAGAGGCTTCATTTTTCTTCAGAGCAAAAGACTTGTGCACCTAATACATTCACAAATCCTGAATCACTTTCTTATTTTCTACTTTGGCATTCTTGCTTTATGTAAAACCAGTATCATAATAACACTTTTTTTAAGGTAATGTCACCATATGTATCTGTTAAGCCTGAAAATTTCTTGAGTTTAGCATTTCAGAGTTTTTTTTTAAATCAATATTTTGCCGAAGCAAGTTTGCCTATTAAAATCCTAAACCTCAGAGCTACTCTTAATAGAATTCCCAATTAACACGTTCAATAAACATCGACCGTAAATTCCTTTTTTTTGGTGCTTCTCCTTCAAATTCCAGTTCTTCTCACTTTCCAAAATATGTTTTTGGCATAAAATAGGATAATTTTTGGCCTCCTGTGTTTCTTATTCAGAAACGGTACAGATCTTACATGTGTGTGAATTGCCCGTAAGATTCAGATTTCTACCTGTGAAGAAAAAGGAAATGTCCTGTCTTAGTAACCCATGACCTTTCCATTTCCATGTATGGAAAAGTTGAATCCCTCTTTATTTTTACAACGCCAGTGGTTTGCTTACACTCTGTTTTTCAAAGATTTCAGAAATCTGAAAATAATATAGCATAAAATGAAAGTGTCTGGGTTTTCAAGCGCCCCCAGGAAGCACTCCTTTAACTTTATCTTCCTAATAGAAAACCCAGCTTCCCTGAGACCAGGTGTGTGTGGGTGCACGCAGAGCATGCTGCTCGGCTTCGAGGCTGTGGATGGCTGACTTTGCGTATCAGGGGTTTCTTTCTGTTCCTTCTGCATGACTTGGGATACGGTTGGTGGGCGGACTGTTCACAATTGCTCTGTTACGGTGATTGGTTGTACTGTATTAATGCAACTGTTTTTAGCTATTGAACGACAATGACAAAAGGCAACCAGAGGCACCCCAGTTTTCCTTCTGTACCATTCTGGAATAACCCCTTAACCTTCATATCACATTATTTTTCCTCTCCAAATACGAATCAATCTACAAAGCCCTTTCTCAAGTTGCTGGTAATAGCTGTTATTCACAAGAGAGAGTATTGGGAACTCCCTGGTGGTCCAGTGGTTATGGCTCCGTGCTTCCACTGCAGGGGACACAGGTTCGATCCCTGGTTGGGGAACTAAGATCCTGCAAGCCGAGGGGCACGGCCAAAAAGAAAAAACACAGAAAAAAGAAGAGAGAGTATCAAACATGCAAAAGTATTTTCCCAAAGTAAATGAACAAAAGATGTTTTGGGTTTAACTCAAAGTTTATTTGTGCCGGGAGAAAACGAATGACACTTAGCCAGGCTTCCAGCTTGTTCCTAGCGTGTATAATGCAATAGGATCAGGAACTAAGTATCACAGATGGTGGTGGGATGTGGGGATGGGGGAGAAATGGTGGTTTGTAGACCCGAAGTATTTCATGATTGTCTGATACCGAACAAAATATATGCCTACAACATCTGTTTTCACATTTTATTTCATGATAATGGAAATAGCACAGGTCAGCTCAGTGTATTGAGGGATATGTGAAAGAGAAGTTTACTTTGTGTTCAGAGAAAAAAAAGATTCTGAAGGTCAGGAAGCTTGGTATTGGTCCCTTTTCTTTTAATTCAGCTTATTAAAAACCAGAAAATAATGGCGTTTTCTCCCTTCAGTTTGTTTATCAAGCGTGGATTACTGACCCTAAAACAGCACTCCGACAGAGGCGCAAAGAGAAAAAAAGATCTGCAAGAGAAGAACAGAAAAGAAGGAGAAAAGGATCTGGGGACGGTAAGTGATGAATGCGGCAGCACCCCTGCTTCTGTGACCTTGAACACAAATGAGGAACCGCAAAAGACAAGCTTGGGAGGAATGAAATTCTTGACTTCTAAAGAGTGCAAAGAGTTTTACTTACCCTTAATTACTCAGGTCTTGGAATAAAGTAAAACATGAATTTAAGTTAAGGTGCATTTTATAAAGTGAGAAGAGAGAGAGAAGCAAAATAAACCTAAAGAAAGTAGAAGGAAAATAATAATTTTTAGGTGGATATTAAGTTATAGAAAAGAAATATAAGACACAACCTGATTATTAAGTGAAAAGCTGTTCTTGGAAAAAACTAATGATAAAGATGAACCTATGGAAATTTGATCAAGAAAAAAAGGGAAAGCACAATTAAAGTGTAGTCAGGAACCAAAATGGAACATAGCCACCAGTGCCATATTCAACATTATACTGATTCATTTGAAAACATATGATAGGAACACATCTCTAAGGCGGAAAAGAATTCCAAACGACAGTAAGACACACCAAAAGCAAAGTTAAAGAGCAAGTGGGGCAATCAGGAAAAAGATTTTCATTATATATCAGACTAAAGACTAGTGTTCCAGATATATTAAGAACTTCTAAAAATCAGTAAAAGAAAAATTCAACCCAATGAATGAATGGATGTGAAAAACAATTTGAGATCAGAAAATAGAAATGGCCAAAAGGAGCTCAATTTCAGTAGTAGTACAAGAAACACAAACTAAATATTTTGACATACTGTTTTTTTAACCTATTGGATTGGCAAGAACCTAAACATTTGATAGTATCACTGTTTGGAGCTAGTGGGAGCATACATATTTGTGGTGTTCTAAAGCAGCATATCCACTTTGAAGAGCAGGTGTCAGCATCCATGAAAATTTTAAATGTGTGTCTCCTACCAGAGATCTGTCCCACCTCCAGGTGTACGGCTTAACTTGAATCAATATTTGCACATGAGCACAAGCACACGTGTCTAAGAATATTCATCAAACATTATTTATAACTAACAAAAATTTGGAAACATCCTGAATGCCCACATAAAGAAGAAGAATCAAGTAAATTATGTTACCAATGTATTATGGCATACGACTTAGTAATTTAAAAAATGATATGGGCTACTTTGAACTGACTTGGAGAACAATTCCTGACATATTGTTAAATGAAAAGCATTATGTTGCAAACTGGCATGCACATTATGAAACCATTTATGAAACAGAGGAAACCAGAGTGCCTCCAGACAATGTTTTGCATTTTTAATGGGTACATATAGTCGTGTATAAATGCCAGAGGAAGATCAGGAAGAATACTTAGCAAGTTAATTACAGTGGTGACCTCTGGCAGAGGGTGGGGAGAGACTGAGATTAAGGGGTAGGATTCAAGGAACCTTTAGCCTTGTTATATTTTAGTTCTTTACAAAGAAAATGTATATATAGATTCTTTGTGAAATTTAAAATGTATTCAAAAAAGAAAAGAAAAGGAAAACATAATTTCTAATGGAACTCTAATTGCAAAGCCGTTCTCCTTTTTGACCACTCTGGTCGCTGCTACCTCCCAGTAGCGTTTATTTTAGTTTAGTTTATTCGTTTAAAAAAGGCAAAATTAAGACACAGGCAATGTTGCAAGTCAAGCAATAAAGAAGTGGATGCACAGTCTGGCCTTGAAAGCTACCCTGAGGCACCAAAGCCTTGCACTGGTTGTGCTCTCTTCCGCCCCTTTCCTGTGACGTACAGGCAGTGTTTCCTTTGTTTCAAAAATGAGTCCATGCCGTCCAAATTCTCCTGTACGTTCATCAGCAATGTATCATGAACACTTCTCCAATTAAGTATTTATAAAACTATATCATCCTTTTTTTATAGCTGCAAACTATTCTATAATATGGATATGCATCATTTATCCAACTCTTCCATCACTAATGGACATAAGGTTTGCTTCCAGATTTTGCCACAGTTAAGAATGCTGTCATAGATATCCTTGCACAGAAGTTCACATGTAGTCGTGTGTGCGTGTATTTAAATGCATGGCAAAAAGTCAGGAAGAACACACACTTTCCACAAAATAGATGATCGAAAGTGGGATTTCTGGGTTAAAGTGGGTGCTTTTTTACTTTAATAAATATCTTCCCAAAAGGTTTTAGAAATTTACACTCCTATGTATAAGGTGCAGGAGTGTCTATTCCCCTGTAGCCTTATCCCATAGGCTATTATTACTCTTTTTATTGTGTGTCTTTCTCAAGGATGACAAACGGCTTTTATTTTCATTTGAATTTTCCTAACTAATGAGATTGAACATTTCCTATTTCAGATTTTCTTGGTATTTTTTACTTTCAAATCTGAGATAAAATTTTTATCATGTTCCATACTCTCATTCTATTGGGTTGTTTGTCTTTATTAATTTAGGAAATATTTATATGTTAGGGATATTATCCTTTTTTAAGTGTTTCAAGTATCTTTTTTCCAATCCAATGCTTATCTTTTGATTTAGTTTATGGTATATGTTTTCTAAGCAATGTTTAATTTTTTTTGTGATGTCAAAAAGGTCCGAATTTCTTTTTGCAATTTCTATGTTTTCATCTTGTTTAAGGAAGTCTTCCTCCCCCAATTTTATGCAAATGTTTTCTTATATTTCCTCTTAATTTTATTTACCTTTTAAATTTTTTATTATTCTGTGAAGTAGAGGTCTATTATGCTAAACCTGTTCGGTAATGTCCTCCTTTTTCCATTGAAGTTAAATGCTCCTTTTCTCAATATTAAACTCCCATTTGTGGTATGTCTCTTAGGTATGTTTCTGGACTCTGTATTCTGATCCACTATCCTACTGTCTAGATCTGAGCCACTGTCCTATATTTTTGAGTCCAGTAGCTAGAGTTAGTTTTAATATTTAGTGTTGCAAACTTCCCTCACGATGCTCCTTTTTTCAAAATTGTATTTGCTATTCTCAGACATTTGTTCTTCCAAAATTATTGGGCCAGTTCTAAAAAAATCTTTAGTCATCTTGTTAATATCTCATTAGTCTGTATCATGAAGATTATTTCATGCATAGATGCACCATGGTTTACCTACAAATCTAGGACAGCAATAATTCAAAGATACTGGGACAGAAATAAATGTTTATTTCTTTAATAAATATTTATTCAGCACCTTCTTGATACAAGGGATCATCCCTTCTTCGTCGGCAGATGAAACAAGTAGCATCTGTCCTTCCAGAGTGCCAGCTGCCTTTGTGCTTTCTGTGCAATAACTCACTCGCCCCTCACTCCCTGCCCTACACTTGGGGATGTGAGGTCCCAAAGAGTGAAGGAACCTGCCCTGGTTACAGCCAGCCAGTGAGTGGTGGGTCTGGAGTTCATAGCAGGTGTCCTGGCTCCAGACCCCTCCACCTTAACCAGTAGGGAACACAAATGTAGGGGGAAAAATCCCTGTTGACATAGAAACTGCAAGGTTTCATTTAAAAAATAAGCGTACATAGAATAGTGTGGGACCAGAGGACAAAAGGTGACTTATGACCCAGTGTGCAAAGGAATACAGTTCTTCGTGCAAAAGATAGTCTTTGAGCAGAGCCTGGCAGAAGAAAGCAAGTTCGTGTATGAAAACGAAAGAGCAGGTCAGCTTAGCTAGTAAAGACGGGATGTGAAACAGAGCAGCAGAAAAGAGCACAGTAGAAAATAAATTTGGGAAGATTAACTGGAGTCAGGTTGTGAATCGTGTTTAATAGAGTTACCAGATAAAATACATGAACCCCGGTTCTAGCTGAATTTTTTAGAAAAACAACAAATAATCTTTAAGCTTCAGTATAATTTTGACATATTGCATGGGATTTACTTACACTAAAAAATGATGTGTGGGGGCTTCCCTGGTGGCGCAGTGGTTGAGAGTCCGCCTGCCGATGCAGGGGACATGGGTCCGGGAGGATCCCACATGCCGCAGAGCGGCTAGGCCCGTGAACCATGGCTGCTAAGCCTGCGCGTCCGGAGCCTGTGCTCCGCAACGGGAGAGGCCACAACAGTGAGAGGCCCACGTACCGCAAAAAAAAAGGAAAAAAACGATGTGTTATTTATCTTAAATTCAAATTTAACCGGGTGTCCTATATTCTCATTTGCTATATCTGACAACCTCAGCCTTAAAAGAAGAGACTAAGAAATAAATGAAACTCTGTGATGTCATTTTAAGGGTGACCCACTAAAATTTATAACATTACCCCAAGGTGTTCAAAATTACAACTTCACAGTGTGTAACAGGAGCCAGCACACTTTTTCTGTAAAGGGCCGGATGGTAAATATTGTAAGCTTTGCAGGCTGTAAACTCCTGCTGCAACTCAATCCTGCCATCTTGGGATGAGAGCAGCCTTGGACAGTATGTCCACAAATGGGTGTAGCTGTGTTCCAGTAAAATTTGAATTTCATGTAATTTTCATATGCACAAAATATCATTGTTCTTCAGACTTTTTTCGACGATTAAAAATAGTTGAACTCACAGGCCATTTAACAACAGGAAGCAGGAAAGATTTGGCCAGAGGACTGTAGTTTACCCACCCCCAGTTCCATGGTTCTCATTCTGGAGTGGAGTGAAGAGAATCTGAAAGCTCAGAATTCTTATGACTTTTCCCCAGGAGCTCTTCAAATCGGCAGAATGTCCTAGATTTCATTATAAAATTCCTTTGAATCCAGAAGAGTAGTGTTGGCATTAATTTACCCTAAAAGGATGTAACCCGTGTTTCTCGAACAATCTTGTCAGGTCCTGTGGAGTGGGAAGACCGGGAGGATGAACCGATCAAGAAGAAGTCTGATGGACCAGGTAACAAAATAAAGGCTCCCATCGGCGGGGGGCGAGATTGGAATTTGTTTCTTGCCCAGATAGTACGTAATGGAAGGCTGCCTGAAAACAATGAATTAAATCCTGTTGCTGGACTGTGACTTAATAATCAGTGTCCCTTGAAATCTCATCTCTAGTGAAATTGCAAAGGGACTCCAAAAAGTAGACCTGACCTTTACACTGTGGAATGAAATGTTGGATTAGAGTCGGCTTATAAATTCCTTTGTCCAAGTACCTATGAAACGGAGTTTGGAGAGCAACTTGTAAATGTCCCAGGGAAGCCATCAGAGTAGAGGCACAAAAAATATTGGCAATTAATTTAAAGTACATGGAAAAGGAGTGAAGTGAGAAGTAAGTAACTGCGGAACTGAGCGGGCCTCCAGGCTTGGGCCAACCTTCTCGTCTTAGGGAAGAAAACCAAACCCCACTGCGTTTCCTCAGGACTCCACACAGTGGGGGACAGAACCGGTGTGTTCTAACTCCTAGCCCGGTCACGGTGCCGTTTGGGCTTCACGGAGTCCACGATCAGGAGGAAGATTTCTCCATCAGTAAAAAAAGAGGAGAAACAGAAGCCTCCAAATGCAGTGAACCCAGATGCCTCTTGGCTCCACAGATGCTGCTTCGTCTCTCATGGGGCTGGCATTCCTGTAAGCATCACTTAGCAGCAGGCAAGGTTTTCAGGCTCTTTTGCTCTGGACACAAATACATCCAAGGATGCCATCTGCTGACACAAAATGAGGCTTCCTGAATGCTCTCCAAGCCCTCGGAGGCACAATCCTTGAACCTGGCCTCCACGTCCAGGTAACCGGCTCATGTGTCTGTGGGACCACATACCCCTTTATTGCTGCAAAGCTTTATCACGCTTTGCACGGCGCAGCTCCTTTGCCAGGCACTTTTCCATGAGCTTTACATGCATCGACTTGTTCAACCCCCTCAAAACCCTCTTCCCCATTTAACCAAGAAGAAACTGAGGCAGAGAAAAATTAGCCAACTTCTCCAAATCTACACAACCACTTGGGTAGAGTTGGGATTTGGATCCAAGGACTCAGAATCCAGAGTCTGTGCTCTTAACAACTATGCCCTCCGGCCTCTATGGTTAAAAAATAAACAAGAATAAGAATCCTAATTTCCCATGTGAGTCTATGATCACCCCAGTGGGTAAAGTGCACGTTATGTTACACAGGGCTCCAATGTAGTCAGGAACACCATAAGCAAAACCGCAAAATAATTGGGCTTATCTTCACAGCTTCTAACAAAATAATTGTGAATATATGAAAAAAAATAGGTCATCAAAATATTAAGATGCTGCTAAAGTTTGTCAAGTTTAGTCCTTCAGCCTCCAGGGGTCGAACTTGCCTTTGATGTCTACACGAAGAGGCTGTGGGCAGTCAGTATCTGCCAGGTGGGGCTCTCGTGGCTGGTTCCTCTGGGCCTGCTTGACCCGGAGGCTCAAGGCCCCTTCTCACTACATGGTTCCCCCAGCTCCTTTCCCAGAGTCCCAGCTGGCAGCTCCAAGGTTCCTGTGACCTCAGTAGGTAGCACCGTCTACCGCTTCCTTGTGTCTCCCTGACCCACCTGGACCATGTGCGGAGCCCACACTCTAGCTAAGCTTCCCTTGGATGGATTTCCTTTGAAAAGAGCAAAATTTCACCTGAGAGAAGTTCTGCCTTTCTCCTAGGCCACCCAAATGCACAAATAATTTTTTTCCATGACAAAGTCAAACTCTGGTTCATGTTTCAGTCTCTAAAGTAGAGAGAGGACAGTGACCAGGGATGGGCCATACACCTGGGCTAGAGGTTGCAAGACTCTACCACTTCTGGGCTAAATCCCACCTGCCACCTGTTCTTCTGTGGCTTGTTAGGTAAGAATGACTTTTACCATGTTTCATGGCTGGAAAAAAAATCAAAAGAAGAAAGAGTATTTAATGACATATGAAAACTATGGGATTCAAGTGTCAGTGTCCGTCATTAAAGTTTGGTAACCCAGGCTTGCCCATTGATAAACGATCCATCCACTGTCTACAGCTGCTTTCACACCACCACAGCCGAGATGACCAGAGACGGCAAGGCTGCAAAGCTGGAAATGTGTACTGTACGGCCCCATCCAGAAAATGACCCCCCGCACAGGAAAGCTTATGTCAGTGAATTTTGTCTTTTTCTACCTGCTGTATTAGTGATCTTAAACTACAGCCATTCCAAACTATCATCATTCATCATAAATTCATTACGATCTTACTATGACACTTGAATCTGATTTCCTTTTTCTGGTGAGAGGAAGAGTGAAGGATACCGGTTGTTTTTCTTGTTGAGAGTCTTGGTGGTGGTGCTTTGATTTTTTTTTTTTAAACAATAAGGCAATTCTTAATTCATTGTCCTGTTCACTAAGTATTCCCTTTATTGCAGTCAGTGTTTGAGATAGCTAATAAAACTAATTTTTTAAAAAGCCAAAGTAAAAATATGTACACACGGATGGTGATTTGCTGATGTGTCTTGAAGCGTTCCTTGTATACCAGTTGAAAAAGCACTGATTTACAGGAAGCAATGAGTAAGACAGACAGTTAATATGGGATCTTCCCTCTTTTATTTTGATTCTGACCTAAAATAAGTTATGTCACAGCTGTGACCCAGAGCTCACATTGAATTCCGGGGGTGCCGGAGAGGCATGACATCAGGGACACGGTGGGACCCCAAGTGGAGCTTGTCACACGCGGCCTCCCAGGCGGGTCCCCAGTCACAGCTGAGATGAGAAAGGCAGCCCAGGGTCATCGGGAATCTCGGGGCCCCTGTGTTTTGGAGACGACTGACCCCCACCCACAACCCCCGGGGAAAATTTTGTAGTTAGCACAGCTTGATGTCATTAAATACATATGGACAAGGTAAGTCAGTGGTTTAGATAGACTCTTAGTGTGTGGACTGAATTCCCTACAAAATACCTTTGAGGTGGTTTAACTGCAATCCAGCTGCAGTGAGAAGCATCAGAGTCTTCTGAACCAACAGAATTGTTTCCCATGACAATTGTTAAGAAAAGAAGAAACATACAGGAAAAGCGTTAAAGGACCCAGTTACCTGGATAGATACAGACTGTTTCTGTCCCTGCGTCAGTAACAAATATCTTTGAGCACAATCTCTACTTTTAATCAAACCTGTTAACTGCATACAGACCTATTCTGACTGATGCTTTGACCCAAGGTTAAAAACTCTATCCGCGGGCTTCCCTGGTGGCACAGTGGTTGAGAATCTGCCTGCTAATGCAGGGGACATGGGTTCGAGCCCAGGTCTGGGAGGATCCCACATGCCGCGGAGCAACTAGGCCCGTGAGCCACAACTACTGACCCTGCGCGTCTGGAGCCTGTGCTCTGCAACGAGAGGCCGCGATAGTGAAAGGCCCACGCACCACGATGAAGAGCAGCCCCCGTTTGCCACAACTAGAGAAAGCCCTCACACAGAAACGAAGACCCAACACAGCAAAACTAAATAAATTAATTAATAAACTCCTACCCCCAACATCTTCAAAAAAAAAAACAAACATTAAGTCCCTGGAATTTATTAAAAAAAACACTATCCGCGTTTGGTTTTGGTGCTTCCGCAGCAGGTGTGGAAAGGTCTGCCCACGGCTTCCTAGCCTGCGGTCCCCACGACGCCCCTGTCCCTCCATGTTGGGGACGAGGGCAAAACCAGGGCTGCCTTTGGTAAGATACCACACACAGCACCGCGGCTGAGGGCACGATGTCCCTTTAAATCGTGTTCTCTTCTTCCTCCTAGATAATATCATCAAGAGGATATTTAATATTCTGAAGTTCACCTGGGTCCTGTTTCTGGCGACCGTGGACAGTTTCACAACGTGGTTGAACTCCATCTCCAGGGAGCACATCGACATCTCCACCGTCCTGAGGATCGAGAGGTGCATGCTGACCAGAGAGATTAAAAAGGTAGCACTACTGGCACGGTTCTGAAAGTCAGTATATGGAGCCCCAAGTAGGATCAGACAAAACCCGTTCTCTCTAGACAGCTTTACATAACCCTTTTGCTTTTTTGTATATTTAAGTCTGTTCCACGCTCAGAATGAAAATAATCAGACGCCACACACACACTCACACAGTCCCAGGATCTCGGCCAGTGGGTCCTTTCTGTCCCCTCCCATCACCACCGTTCGCAGCTGCACAGGCTCTGTCGTGTCTCATAAAGGGGCATGTTGTATAGTCTGGCAAGTTTGATGTGAAACTTCTCATAGGGAAAATCAGGATCTATGCAGAGCCACAAAATACAGCCACAGATGGTTTACAGGTTACATTTGAAAAGAATAGTTCGTTGCTGGAAAAGTTACTCTGACGTAGCAAAATTATCTACCTACGAGAAGGGATTTCTTTTTCAATATTTTAATTTTAGTTTTGGAGATGTAAGTGACAGATAACATATTAATTTCAGGTTTACAACATAATAAGTTGGTATTTGTATATATTGTGAAATGATCACCACGGAAAGTCTGGTTAGCATCCATCCCCACACCTTGTTATCAATTGTTTTCTTGTGATGAGGACTTTGAAGATCTGCTCTCTTAGCAACTTTCCAATATGCAATACAGTATTGTTAACTATAGTCCCCATGCTGTGCGTTGCCTCCCAGGATTGATTTATTTTATAACAGAGAGTTGGTACATTCGACCATCCTCACCCCTAAGTGAGAACGGGTTTCTGTTCAGCATGACCCAGTCACATCGGGCACCATTAATTCCATGAGTTAATGTCGATCCCCAGCTTGACTAGCTTGGCTTTTCATCCTGTTCAAGGTGTGCATGATGGTGGAGGGTTGTCCGTATTGAGCGGTGCCAGGCAGCTGCACAGGCCAGTGCTTCGTGAGGACCGTGACAATGTCTCCTTCTCTGCAGGGCAACGTCCCCACCCGGGAGAGCATCCACATGTACTATCAGAACCACATCATGAACCTTTCCAGAGAGTCGGGACTGGACACCATCGATGACCGTCCTGGTGCCACCGCAGGTATACAGACAGCCCATAGGATGGACAGCTTAGATTCCCACGACAGCATCTCCAGGTACGTCACGTGCTCCACGATGGTGTTGCTTTTGACAAAGGTAACAGAGGTGAGAAATGATGGGTGAGGTGCAGATTAATCAGAATCATGCAGGGTGCCCAGCCATTCCGGGCTGTCTCTGTGGCCACAGCCAAGCAGAGCATTGCCTGTCCCTGGACCGGGCAGATAGAAGCAGGAATCAATAATAACTATTAGCAGGAGCTGTATGATTCACAGCCACAGGACTGGGATTTCCAAGCTGGAGTCAAGTCAGATGGACAAGCCTTCCACATCACAAAACGATGAATTGTATCAAGAGCTGCCTCTTTAATGCCTTTAAAATGCTGCTCCAGAAAGAATCTTCTGTTCTAGAATCTTCTACTATCTTTTGCCATCCTTGATCTTTTTCCTTTCAGAAACGTTACTTTATGGTTCGTAATTTTAGAAATTTGAGAAGTGGTTCTGTCTGCCCCCATCTTCCGCATTGTGTGGTCACAGCCCTACTTCACACAGGCACCTGTGCTGACCCTTCACCTGGGGCTGCACTAAACACTGTGCATGGGTTTCTTCACTTTATCCTTAAAAGACCCTTCGAGATGTACTGTTATCGTCCCCATTTGACAGAGACATGAGCCTCTTCTGAAATTTCATGAGGCTATAGACTATTTCCCAAAGGGGGAAACCACACATAATTACAAATTTTTTATGTAGAACTTCAGGGGTTTCACGGGCCTCCAGAATATTATATGTGAGCCTGGCTTAAGAATAGTGGTTCCAGAACCGAACTCTGAACCAAATGAATCAAAGCGAAAATTAGAAAGTGAACTAAAAATCAGCTGTTCATAAAATAAACATACATGATTCGTTATTCCTGAAAGTTACTTATTAGTAACTTTCAGCTGTGTAACCACTGAGAACATGGTCAATGAAGAAAGTAACTAAGTACTGTAAATCACAACTTTAGGAGGTTGAAGAAGAAAAAGAAAATAAAGACTGGCCAAAATAAAATCAAGTAACTGCCTTTAAATCTGGTCCAAGATGACAAACATAAAGCTGAACCCATAGTCAAAAACTGTGAGGCCGGAGATTTTTAAATCCATCGATTGCTTTTTAACAGAGACTGTCAGAGTATCCCAAACATTTTTAAATGGTCAATCCGTCAATACATTTACTAAGAGAAAGCCAATACCTTCAAAATTACTTTTTAATGTTCTTTTACTCTTTATTTGTAACCTAAAGAAAAGGGAGACACAATAGGTTCATTATGTCATTAGTAACCGAGTGAACATATCTGCCCTTTCCTTAAAAGGCTGAGCAGAGCTTCCAGTTTCTTTGTTGAGGAAACTTCCAAATCACGTGTCTGCATTAGAGTCCACAGGAAGCCTTGCCGATTGCTGGGGAGGCAGTGACCTTCTCTGGGAGGGACTCCCAGCATGGACGCTTGCTCTCCGACACCTGTGCCCTGCGGCAGGGTAGTGTCAACCCCAGCGGGGACATGGGGACACACACGCTCCATGGGGCCTGGCCCCTTTCCGAGGACCCAGCCTGCATGGAGCCTTCCTACTCACCCCATCTCACCCGCTTTTCCCTCTGGCAGACAGTAGAGGGGGTCAGGGTAGGAACCTAACGAAGGAGTTTGTATTCCCTTTGACTTACTGGAATCGTCCCGATTTCCTTCAAATCCAGTTGGGAAATAGCGCTTTTTTAAAAAATGGTTGTTTTATGAAATCGGATATCCTCTACCTTCCCAGAAAATAAATTAGTTTAAGTTCCTTCAGGAAACGGTGACATTCTAAGGAACATTCCTAGATATGACCAGAGTGGTTATCATTTGAAGTGTGTGCTGTGTGCCCCTGGGGCATCTCGATGAAGACATCGTCTGATTACATTTGTCATCTGTTATTGTGAAGCTTCTCCTCTTCCCTTTCACTTTTAAAACTGTCCTGGCTTGGGTGACAAATTGGTCCACTGCAAATAACCCAATAGTCTGGGGTTGTGTGGAGTCCGAAAGTGGGCTGATGTGACAGTACAACTCACCTAAGAATTAACAAGGTTAATAGGACTTTGGGGTCAGAGCAATGATACCTGTGCAGAAAATCGAGCAGGTGAGGGTGCACAGCATCTTTCTGCTGCAAACTCCCAAAAGGCCATGGGCTCCACCTCTGAAAATAGGAAATGACACAGAAGCTCACAGATCCAGTTCCATCATCTCATAAATGATGAAACCGACCCCGAAGAGGGGAAGCGCTTTATCTAAAACCCAGCAGGCAGCCAGTGTCCGTCGGCGTGGAGACCCAGGCCCAGGCCCACTGTGCTCGTCCACTGCGTTCCTAGTTCATCTCCCCATCATCTCCTCTTTTTGTCCAGGACGGGTTGACATCTAAAGGAGTCAATGTCATTTTTTTAAAATCCTTATTAGAGACTGTTTGGTTGCCTGCGTGTTCCCCCCTCTCATCGCCCAGCCCCCGTGTTGGCCATATGGCTGTAACGTGCAGTCAGGGTGGCCCATCCAGAGCACTTGGGGCTTGGTGGGGGAGCTGTAACTCCAGGAACCTGAAACCCTTTGATGGTTCCAAGAGAACCTCGAATTCCCTACTCCCACAGGGGACCCCAGAGGTAGCTTCACTGTCCTGAATGGTTTCCGTTTCTGCCCCATCGTCACTGACTGTGGGCGTCTGACTGTGCAGCCGGCACACAGCAGGTCCCCTAGTGCAGCCACATGTGACGTTTATTCAGGAAATCAGCCGTCCAGTATCACAAGGGTCAGCCGGATCACTCATACTCAAGCTGAAGGTTAGTGCCCCAGGACCCTCTGTGTCAGGCACTTTGGGGGGGTGTGTCCCTCTCTGGGGTTAAACTCTGCATATGAACTGCAGTCACACCTCTGTCTGAGCTCTGTTGGCTGCATCTCCAGTACTGTGATCACCCAGTAGCAGCTCAGCCCTAACTCTGCCGCCCTTCCTCCCTGATTGTCAGGTGACAGGAGCTGAGGATTTCAGCCAATGGGCTCTCGCCCTCATGACATCCGCCAACACCTAAAACGTGATCTGAAGAAAACCATTCATTAGGCTCAATGAACAGTTAACAGACAAAATGGCCCTGCCACTGCTGGATTTCCTTTGTTGTTGCCTTTTACCATTTTGTTTCATTTTTTTGATGTTGGTTTATATCCAGTTGCATATCAAACCAGCATCTCTTCTCCAAGCCATCTAGTTTGGTTCAACTGAATATCACTCAGAAAATGGGATGGAAAATTCAGTTTGTTGTGGTCAGTCCTGAGCTTCCCTCTTTCCCTTTGGAGACTGTGTTTAAAAAAAAAAATGACATTTTTATATAAAATTTACATGAGCAGATATTTCTGTGTAACCAGTTCGGCTACAAAATGCTCTCAATGAACTCAGAATTGGGTGGGGGGCTGTGAATAAAACATGTTTCCTTTCATCAAAAAAAACTCAGTTGTAAAACTATGAATTCTGCTCTGTGAGAGAAAGGTCGGGACTTGTCTTTATTCTAGTTCCCTGTCCCACCCAGAGAGTGACATTTCCTCATGTATCAGCTGTTATATTCTTTTCAGCCCAGTACTGCTGTGTTTTATCTTCCCTTCTCTGTCCCGGAGGCCCCGCTGCGATGGTCGCTGTCCGTGGTGCTGGAGTGGCGCGTGGTTTGCTGCATGGCGGTGTCTGGGTCGCTGACCGTGTGTGACTCACGTTCCGGTGCTGTTTTAACACTGTCTCTCTGTGACTGTTTGCGCTGCTAGCTGCTACACGGAAGCAACCATGCTGTTCTCAAGGCAGTCCACCCTTGATGATTTAGATGGACCAGAAACTGTTCCTAAAACAAGTGAGCGTGCTCGGCCCGGGCTCCGTAAAATGCTCAGCATGGATGTGTCCTCTTCGTCAGCTGAGAGCGCCAGCTTAGCCTCCAGGTGCTCACACGTGCATGCGTTGTCCGTAACCGTGTCACCTCCCCCCTGGGTCATTGCACAAATGAGTTCTTGTGACCTGTGTGTTTTTGTTAATTTTTATTTTAAGAATGTGCATGACTAACCAAAGCATAACCACTGCCCTTCCTGGGATACAACTGGTCGTTCCCAGGACAGCATTCTATTAAACTAACTGCTCTTTGGTTTTTGTCTGTTAGGAGTTTCTTAAAAATCCTACTATAAACATTGTCCTTCATTTTGTAAGTATTTCACACTTTTTATTTCCAAAGGAACAAGCATGTTTCCTCCTTGGTTGAGGGCTCAGGTAGGTGGTCCTCACAGGGAGCAATGGGTCAGGAAGGGCAGGAAATTTTTTCTCACGATTTCATCCAAAGATCCATGAAGTAGGGGAAAAAAAATCCCCAAATCCCATATGTAGTCACATTTGGTTGATACAGGATGAATCTGTCCACGTTTTATATGCATAATTAACATAAAAGTCAGGATATATTTTACCATTGGTTTTTTAAAAAGAATATTATTGTGCAGTAGAATATATCACCTTTGTAGACCTTAACTTGTTTGGTTTGGAAACGATTACTTTGGGCTTAAGTTTTCTCATTAAATCCTATGATAAAACAATAATCATTTAGAAATGAAATTACTTGCGTAAAAGCCAAAAGCTTTTTTGAATTGCCTTTGAAAAGTCAGCAGGAGCACAGAAGCACGAGCGGCACTGTGCTTATCCCGACACCAAACAACCTACCCAGATAACCCAATCCAAAACTAATGTCAGCGTTGGCAAATCAGGGGGGTGTTAAGTCCTTGTTGCCGGCAGCTCTGTATCTCAGTTCAGAGCTGCAGGAGGCTGGCGCCTGGTGTTTCTGGGAATGCCATGGCCATTTGAGATGTCTTCTGGCTGCCACATGCTATGCCATCCCACTCTGTTGATTCCTGAATGTACCAGGATTTGCTGAATCCCTTTGGGGCCAGACCTCATTTAAAACCACAGAGAGCGTGCCTGTGGTCGCTTACGGTCCCACTGGAAGTTAGACCTGGCGTGGGGCTGGCTCCAGGGGTCTGAAAACTCAATGGGGTGATCAGTCAGTTTCACGGCCATGTCTAATCAAGGTGAGTCTTAGCCAAAGGCTGGCTGTCTTGGTGTTCCGACAGCCTTCTAACTGATGTGCACGCTTAGAACCAAAGCCCTGGGGACGCTGAAGACCCCTGAGTTAGGATCAAGAGCTCATACGAATGTGGTTCTCAGTCTCAGGGCTCAGCCAGTCGCATTCATTCATTCATTCATATGTGTGCTCCAGTGTCCGTGACAAGGAGAATGCGCACAGCCTGCGCATTTGAGCATCTCTGTGTTTATGTCCCCAGCTGCGCACACGTGCCCTTCAGATAGCAGCACCTTCTCAGAGTCTAACAGATCATCGCTCTACACCCAGCAGGCTCTGCATCTCTAGATGACTTTGCCCCTTCCCCTTCAGGGCTGGGTGTGTCGAGGTAGACAGTATAGAAAGCACGCTTTGAATTTCACGGCTCTCTGCTGTATTTCATTTCCAGCTTTTCCCGCACGGACCTGGCAGGGAAAGTTAGAAGGACAGGAGGGATGCAAAAGAGAAGAAAAGGAAGCAAAAGTAGAGTGAAGATAATGGCAGAGGAGCTCATGAAAAAGGAAGCTGGAAGGGGAGCTGGTAGCGGAAAGTTGTTGGGAGGAGAGGGCAGCCCGAGCTGGGGACTCAGCCCTGGGGAGAGACCCTCAGGGCAGAGAGTGGTGGGTGGGGCTTCCACATGCCAGGTGGTGGGGAGCCAGGGACCGGGAGGTGGTGAGCATTCAGTCAGATGTAAGAGGCACCAGTGAGAAAAGGCAAAGGATGGAAACACAGGGAGAAGCAAGCATGCAGGAAGTGCGCCGTGTGTTATAAAGCATGCCATTGTCTTGCCAACGGTCCATCATTCCTGTCCTCCCCTTATGGATCTGGGTTCAACTGAGAGTAGAGTGTATCTTGGCTAAGACCTGCGGACCCAGCCAGCTGAGGCTTCTCGTTTCCGTGAGCACCTTTCTTTAAAATCCATACACTGGGAGGTGAGCTGTGCTCACTGTGTCTTGATTGGAAATAAACACCAGGCCCCGTGGCTGGGAAGCTTGATGGGATTGAAAACCTCTGCTCAGGAGGCTTTAGCGCCCTGGGAGCCGCAGCCCAGCCCACCATCTCTGCGGACCAGACAGATTATCCAGACGGAGCAAAGCCGATGGAACACGGGGGAGCGAGGGGGCGTTTCCCCCCACGTGCCTGGATGCGTGGCTGTGGGTGCCCTCGGGAGGGCGGGGAGTGGGATGCTGAGACCAGGCGGTGCCCGTCCCTGTGTCCCGACAGTGAGCCCACGCAGTGCACGATGCTGTACTCGCGCCAGGGGACCACAGAGACCATAGAGGAGGTGGAGGCCGAGCAGGATGAGGAGGTGCCTGAGGACACCCAGTCCCCGCAGGACCCCACGCAGGACGGCGAAGTGGAGGCCCCGCCGTCCTACAGCAAGGCCGTCAGCTTGGAGCGCCTGTCTTTTGACTCCCGGGACGACTCGGGGGGCCAGACCCACATGGCGGTCAGCCCCGACGACAGCCGCTCAGACCGCCTGGAGGCCAGCATTCTGCCACCCCTGACCCATGAGCTGACAGCCAGCGAGCTACTGCTGAACAAGTAAGAGCCTCGGCCACAGCGAAGGCCACAGCCGTGAGTGTCCCTTAGTGCCCGCTGGGCTGCTGGGCGCAGAGACCCACGTGCAGGACGTCCACTCGGATGCTTAGAGTCCACGTGCTGCTTTCAGTACTTCCTGCACCGCAAGTAGGAGCCAACTTGGTGCTTCTACCACTGAATCGTACAACCAGCAACGCGTCTGTAACAGACATGAGTGCTCACGTCTCTCTTTTATTTATTTATTTATTTATTTATTTTTGGCTGCATTGGGTCTTCATTGCTCCATGTGGGCTTTCTCTAGCTGCGGCGAGTGGGGGCCACTCTTCTTTGCGGTGCACGGGCTTCTCATTGTGGTGGCTTCTCTTGTTGCAGAGCACAGGCTCTAGGCACCTGGGCTTCAGTAGTTGTGGCTCACGAGCTTAGTTGCTCCGCGGCATGTGGGATCCTCCCGGACCAGGGCTCGAACCCGTGTCCCCTGCATTGGCAGGCGGATTCTTAACCACTGCGCCACCAGGGAAGCGTCTCATGTCTCTTTCTGTAGCACGATATGAGGTTGACGCCACAAGACACCTGGGGACCCGGGAAGCAGGGAGGGACACCAGGGTCGCACCAAGAGGAAATCAGTCATCTGCGGGAATTAAGACCCACGTAGTGTCACGCTGCTTATTCTAACAGGATGTTCCATGACGATGAGCTGGAAGAGTCAGAGAAGTTCTACGTTGGGCAGCCCCGCTTCCTGCTGCTGTTCTACGCCATGTACAACACGCTGGTGGCCCGCTCGGAGATGGTGTGCTACTTCGTCATCATCCTCAACCACATGGTCTCTGCCTCCGTGATCACACTCGTGCTGCCCATCCTGATCTTCCTCTGGGCCATGCTGTCCGTCCCCCGGCCCAGCAGACGCTTCTGGATGATGGCCATCGTCTACACAGAGGTAGGCCTCGGGCGGAACTGGCCTGCCCGTCACAGGGCGTCACTCTGGGTGGGCCTGCCCGGCTCCAGACAATTTCACATAAACAGTCAGTGAAACTGATGTTCTTAGTGGACACATGATTATAACCAACAGTTGCCTGGTGCCGGTAATTATATTTATCATTTCACACCTCACACCGCATAGGGGCTAACATCATTCCATCTAACAGATAAGGAAATAGCCTCAGTGAGGTTAAATAATTGCCCCGAAGTTACCCAACTAGCGAGTGGTGGGGGAGGCCTTTGAGGTCTGGTGTCTGCCCTGTGGTTTCAGCCACCAGGACGGTAAGTGAAAGGCAGACACAAGCGCGGCCCAGGGGCCGGTGCACAGTCAGTGATGGACATTGCATCAGACAGTACAGTGAGCACCTTGAACAGTTTGACGCAGCATGCGTTTCTCCCATTTTTAAACCTAAAGGCAATTTCCACACATCAAAACACAAAGTCACATACCCACCTCCTTAAAAGTCTGAATAACAGAAAAGGAGAATTGCCACCCTGTTTTCATCACCCGTGAGGGGACAAGAGGCACTCTGCCCAAATATATGAACCTGCCTTTCTGCCCTGCCCTGTTGTGTACGTAGCAGTTCACAAATTCCCATGGCAACCGTAAAACTGGGAGTAGAAGGGAGGCTCTTACGGACATTGCTCCTCGGGCCGTCACGGTTCTTTGTCATCTTAGATTTGTGAAGAAGCCCCATTTTCTTACCTGGCTCAGAAGGAAAGTTTTCACTAACAGTGGAGCTGTAACTGCTTCTTCAAGGATAGTACTCATCATGGTGTAGAGTTAGAGTCTAGAAATTTTATAGGTTTACAAGTAATTCAACAGCAAAATTAAAACAAAGTTATGTATTAAATCATCTCCAAAGTATTCATTTTAAAGTATTGCTATCATGCATCTTATTTCCATAATAAAAATAAAAGATGTGAAGCCAAATACATACCCATGACTTTAATTAGTCTGTCTAAATAATGGCTCTTAAATATTACTTCCATTGCATAACTTGGTGATCGGGGCATAAGTGACTCCCTGTTTGGGGCCTGGAGATTCTCCCCAGCGCCTCTGCAGGAGGAGCTTCTTACCTGACTTGAGGTAAGGGCAGGTTCTAGGAATGTGGAGAAGGGAGAAAGAGCCGCTGGTGCACAGCTTTCGTCTTGAAATGAGATCTTCCCGATTCAAAGTGGGGCTCTCCATTTTCTCTGTCACACTGAGGCGTTGTTGACGTTAATTCCCTCCACAACCCAGACTTTGGGCCACAGCTGGGGGCTATGCTGGGCAAGAGGAAACAACAGAAAGTTTTAAAAAAATGGTCGTTCCTGTTTCTCAGTGGTTGCAGGTTCCTGTAGCGAACTGATGAGTGTAAACGGAGAATTGCCTACAGTTCAAAACCACACGGCATGGGTGGGCACTGGTGCAGAGCGCGGCAGGCGTGTGGCCTCTTGTAGCCGGGGTGGGGGGACTTGTCAGCACAAGGGGGTACGTGGGAAGGAGAGAAGTTTGGCAAAGGACGAAAGCAAAGTGAGTCCAGTCCTTGCGAAGAAACGAAGGCGTAAGACAGCCCGGCGAGCGCAGGACGGACGGGCCGTGATGGGGCTGCAAGGAGGCTGGAGGGGCGGGCAGCAGAGGCGCCCAGGGATGCCTGTCCACGGGGTGTGAGCTCAGCACTCGGTCCCTTGGGTTGAAGGAGTTGAATGGGACATGACTCCGGCAAGTGTGTGTTTTAGCAAGTTTTCATAAAGTGGAGGCTTGGAAAACAGCCGGGGTGAGAAATATCACGGTCCGGACCAATGTCACCGCATGGGGGGCTGAGAGGAGGGGGCAGAGGAGCAGGTTCAGGAAGGGACACTGGGTGGGGTGCAAGGGGGGTGTGGCTGGACTCTGGCTTCTGTGTGGGTACCCAGCGCTGGGTGCAAGCACCAGGGTAAGGGACGCAGGGCTGCTCTTCACAGAGGCTCGACTTTGGGAAGAAGTGTGAGAGGAGGAGGGCTGAAGGGGGACTCTAGGTCAATGGAGGACTTGTAAAACTATTTTTATTGATGGATTATGTGTAATGAATTAACCCCTGATGACGCAGACGTTGGACGATGTTTCAGTGTCCATCTCTGCAAACATCTCCACGTTTGCACCGTGAGCTAGTTACCAGCACAATTGGCAAGATTTTGTTTCATTCACTTTTATTTCTTGAGCACTTCCAATGAGCAATAAAATGGTGAGAAGAGAGAGATGAGAATAAAGTAATATCGTGTACAGCGAGCCTGTGTGGTTTGCTCCTAAAGATTACAAATTAAAGCAATACCCTAAAGTATAAAGATAAAGATCTTCCTGTTCTTGTTGGTTCTAATTACCATAGTTAATAGCTGAATACTTGTGTAAATATCTAATTGAATCAGTAGAAATTAGCCAATTCCTCAACAGTAGCAGAAGTCATTTAAGCCGAGTCAGAAGTAACATAAGTGGCCCTGATGTATCCGTAGTCACAGGCCCTGGAGGTGGGCTTCCCTGGTGGCGCAGTGGTTGAGAGTCCGCCTGCCGTTGCAGGGGACACGGGTTCGTGCCCCGGTCCGGGAAGATCCCACATACCGCGGAGCGGCTGGGCCCGTGAGCCATGGCCGCTGAGCCTGTGCTCCGCAATGGGAGAGGCCACAGCAGTGAGAGGCCCACGTACCGCAAAAAAAAAGGCCCTGGAGGTGAGATTCTGCGCTTGTCCTAAAGTCAGAGTCTGAGAATGAGAATTTGTTATTCCACATGGTGTGTGCATTCCCAGCAACAAAACTGAGACTTTTTCCCCTTAATTTTTTTGTGTCACTGTTTCTCCTATAGAACTATTCTTAAAAGGACTCGTTTTTTAAAAATTTCTATCATCTGTGTGCAGGTGGCAATTGTGGTCAAGTATTTCTTCCAGTTTGGGTTCTTTCCCTGGAACAAGAATGTGGAATTGAACAAAGACAAGCCTTACCACCCACCCAATATCATCGGGGTGGAGAAGAAGGAGGGCTACGTTCTCTACGACCTCATCCAGCTGCTGGCCCTCTTCTTCCACCGGTCCATCCTGAAGGTACTGCCCGTTCACAGCCCCTGAAAGATTCCTGAGAACCCGAGCATTGCGATCGGCATGGGGCCGAGGGTCCGTGGGGTGGGGTCTGTGTGTGTGCTCTTTTTTTCCTTGTTAACAGACAGTTGTGTTCATTTCATTCATTTTCTCCAACACTGTGTGCTCAATAATGGAGTTTGTAATAAGGGGAAATTTTCCCGTCTCTACCCTGGGTTGAACACAGCCTAATTAACCCAACACCCGAACGGTGAGCAGTTCTTACCTCCTGATCCACGGCAGATCATCAGGGAGCCGCAGTTTGGGGTCTCCTCTGCATCCTGACCTCGGCCCACCCCCTTCTAGTAGCATTGCTTCTCTTGTAGTTTCTTGTCGTGAAACCACCGGCTTTAGTGAGAGACCGTCTACGTGATGGGCCCGGGAAGCCCAGGGCTGTGCTCCCAGAGAGCACAGGCTGAGAAAGCCATTCCCTCGTTGCTCTGGGAAGACCTGTCTACAGAGTGACCTTCTCGGGATCAGTAACTCCTGTCATCCCGCTGAGCGTCTGTGGGGCTTTTTCTTCTCACACACTGTGAATTATAAGCTAAACTTGTAATATGCCACTCAACTCTAAAAATTAGATATTGATGTGCCTGTGGTCACACTCTTACTTTCCTTCTCTTATTTTAACCTTGTCTCGTATAACGTATTTTAAATTCACTTTATCAAGTAGTATCTTTATTCGTTCCTTTTGAGAACAAGCTTGGCCTCAGTTAATGCATACACACACATACATGCACACGTACATGTAACAGTATGTTCAACTTCTGTCCTATTCAGTGGGCTGTTTCAAACAGGCTTTCATTGGTGTACCATGACCAAGACCTTTACTCTGCCTTTTGTCACCTTGCAAACTGCAAGTCCCTAACCCTTCACTTGGCGGGGGGTGGCTTACCTGAGTCGTTGGGGTGGGGTGAGTTTGCAAAGGTATTTATCCACAGGCACCCATTAGCCAAAATAAAATTTGCTTAATTTTTCCAGTTCTTCTGATGAATACGGTAATTACCTGAATGTAGCCAATTTACTAATTCTTGACGAACATATTAATAGATGTTTAACCTTATCTTTTTAGTTCTAGAAATTAAAGTTTTAAATTTCAGCATTTAGTATAATTTTGGCCGCTTCCAGTTTCTCTTGCAAATTCTGAATCCTTTTGCATGTCATTTTAAGAAAATTATAAAACTTTAGATATTTTTATTACTTTTTCATCAACATTCAGATGGTTTAACAGCTATGATTTTATATTTAAAGCACACAATAAATGAAATTTTGGTGTTTCATATTGGTACACTTACTCTGATTTCTTCTTTGAAAATGTCTTATATACAGTGAATATATTTGAGGTACTGTAATGCTGAAATTTTGGCTAATGGTATGAAAAATGCTTTTTGTAATGATAAATCCTTTCATAAAAAGACAAAACTATCCTACAGCTTTTGAAAAAATCATTTTTTTCAACCTTTTAACAATGCTGCTTTGAAATCCAAACAATTAAAAACTGCAAATTTCAAAAGTGGTTAAAATTATCCTATTTATATGAATCACTATAATTTTATAAACAATTGGAAGAATTAACAAACCTAAATAAATATGCTACTGAGAAAGCAGTGAAAGAATCCAAATATGTTAATAAAATGTTAACAAAAGACAAAGCCACTTTCAAAATGATTTGAAAGAAATCAGTATAAACTGAAAAATCCCATTACGAGCATCTAAAATGTCTGTTATAAGAATACATTCATTGAATGTGTTTAAGAAATAATATATCTGTACATAAATATTTAAGAATAATCTGTAAATTACGTGACTCTGTCTTTGGATGAATGGGTCGTTCTCCGAGTTGGTTTGGCAAATGGGCCTGGAGCTCTTATTCTCTACAGAGTCAGACGGAGGACTGGACGGGGTCCTGGGGATAAATGCTAGCCTGGCAGCCAGGGCGCTCAGGGGGCGGACAGCTCACTGGGCAGCTTCGTCCAAGGTCAACACCAGGGCCACTTGTGGTCCACGTAGCATCTCATTCCAGGAAAGTCCTGCTTCCTCAGCCTCTCTTCTGCAATCCTCCCTCCTGTCCTTACCGGCCCCCTTTATCCCACTTCCTTGAAGCAAAAACCAGGCTCTGCAGGACGCATCACAGACTCTCACACGTGGGCCAGCATTGTTGGAGTAGAGAATTTGCAGGTCTGTTCCTGGGTCAGCCGTGGTGATCCCAGGTGATCCCAGGATTCAGGTCTTGTGGTGCGGGCTGGGGGAGGAGCAGCACCGTAATTCCAGTACAGATATTAGGTGAGCACGGGGCGGGGATCAGTTCACCCATGGTCACTTCAGCTCGGTACTGCCGGTGCACGCTGTCAGCACAGCAGTGTGTGCTGGAAAGCACTTCCGCTCAGGGAACCAGCTGCGTTGATTCTGTTTGACTTCCACCCCATCATCTGTTTGCATCTCCACTGAAGAGCCAAATGCTATGGTCTATGCCCACCGCCTCCACTCTGCTGGGACCGTTGGAAAATTATAGATGATGCTCTTTTCTTAGAATCCTTTGCACTGCTTTGGGTTTCTAATCTTTTTTTAAATTTCAGTTTTATTGACGTATAATTGATGTATAATTGACAAAGTTTTATTGACGTATAATTGACAAATGAAATTGTAAGGTATTCAAGGTGTACATGTAGTGATTCGATAAACGTATACATGGAGCAAAGGCTCTCTCCCTCTGGTTAATTAGTGCATCCAACACCTCCTCACCTGCCTCTCTGTCTTTGTTTGGTGACAGCATTTAAGTTGCACTCTCCTAGCCAGTTTCCGCTGTACAACAGTGTTGTCAGCTACAGTCGCCCTGTTTTACGTTTATCCTGAGGGACGCTCTGGTGGCTGGGATGTCATAGGGCAGAATCCCAGCCCCCTCCCCGGAACGGCGAGCTGAGCTGTCCCTTCCTTGCCTTCTCAGTGCCACGGCCTGTGGGACGAAGATGACATCGCAGACAGTGGCTCTGACGAGGTGGGCTCAGACGACGCGCTGTCCCTCAGCCACGATAGGAGGGGTTCCTCCGACTCCCTGAAGTCCATCAACCTGGCCGCGTCCGTGGAGTCGGTGCACGTGACCTTCCCCGAGCAGCCGGCCGCCATCAGGAGGAAGCGCTCCAGCAGCGGCTCCCAGACGTCCCAGGACTCCAGCTTTTCCTCCAATAGGTCCAAGAGAGGTATCTGTCACACGGTGTCCCCAGGCTGAACCATTTCCCTGGTTCCAGTGGGTCCGGGGCAGGGGAGTTTGTTGGGTGCTGTCGAGGAGACAGATATTGTGATGTGAAAAGAATGTACTTTGCAACCAGACAGACGGAATTCCGAGTCCGGGCTGAGCTGTTTGTGTGGCCCGGGGCGATCACATCACTGTCCAGGGTGTCTGTCTGAGTCGTCCCCGGGACGAGGATTCCAGGTCGTGGAGAAAAGTGGCCAGCACGCCGCCTCGTACCTAGTGGGTGTTGGATACAGGGTAGTTATAAATCATATCCAGAGATTCTGCTGAGTATACATCACGATTTATTTTGAAAATACATTTTAATCAATGGGAACTTTTAGCCAAACCTTCTTAGTTATTTCCTAAGCTAGTTATTAATTTCTTACTCAACGGCCAGTAGTAGGAAAGTACATATGCGTTCCAGTTGCCCCTCTTGGGGTAAGTGGGCTTTTGTGTTGGTAGTGCTTCTGTCTGAAGCCTTCCAGACACTCTGTATTCATCAGCAGAAGACATTTTTCAGGCAAGCACTGGCAGGTCATCTCATATTTGTTTTACAGTTAGAGAAATTTGGACCTGAAAAAAGGCATGGGTCCTGGACCCAATCTAGAAAACCCGCAACAAAAACCTGGGACCCCACTGAGCACGATAAGAACTGTTCTCAGTCTACTTCCTCCTGGGACAGAGGTCCCACCGCGGCCGAGGAAAGAGCCAGCAGTGGGTGTGAAAACCCACGGATGCCTTTGGCTATGGAAGCAGAGTTGAGGCTGCAGATTCCAAGTTCTCCGCCTCTGTTCTTACGGGCATCTGTGTGTCTCACCTTCTAAACAGCTTCAGACCATCCTCTGTCCTGGGGGCGGCGGGGCTTCTGCAATATTTACGTCGACAAACCTGCAACTCACGGTGCATCTCGGTTTCTTTTTACTTTCAGGCAGCACAAGCACCCGAAACAGCAGCCAGAAAGGAAGCAGTGTTGTGAGCGGCAAGCAAAAAAGCAGACGGGAACTTTACGTGGAGAAGCTTCGAGAACACTTAATCAAAGCAAAAGCGTTTACCATAAAGAAGTGAGTGCGTGAGAACGCCTTGGGGCTGGGGAGCTGGTGTCACTTACTCCACATCAGCCAGAGGTGACGAGTGAAGTGACTTGTCCCACCACAAACATAATCTGCTTCAGGCAGAACGAAATAGCCCATCGTGATACTGCTTTTAAAAATCACTTTCCAATAAGGATGATTTATTTTTACATCCACTGCATTTCTAAACACACTTTTTCTATTTGAACACGGGCTCACCGTGTGTATTTCCAGGCATATGAAAGAGTCCAACCAGACAGAGAGGGAATGAAGTCAAAGCTGGAAGGTCCTTAGAGATACACTTACCCCATAGAGGGAAACCGAGGTGCACGCGGGAAGTGGTTGGTCTGTCACGCCGCCCAAGTTCACCAGCCGAGTTCACAGGCCCCTCCCCCAGGTGACAGGGATGCAGAGACAGGAGTGGAAACGGGGGAGGTGCAACAGGGCTGGCCCTGAGTCTGGGCTCTGAGACCGAGGGCGCTGCTCACCTGAACGTGGCCTTGATTGAAGGTGGAACCCAGAGCACAGTGAAGATAGGGGGACAGGGGCTGTGCAGACAAGCCAGGGCCAGGGCACAGGGCCATGAAGGATGGAGCGAGGTGAGCTCCAAAGCCCAGGGCGCTGCCCGGGACCCGGGGGACACATGGGGTCGGAAACGGGAGGAGCAGGGGCTGCGTGGCATTTCCTGGGTCTCAGGCAGGACCACAGGCCCCGTTTGCTCTCACCGCAGCCCGGGCCTCCCGCCTCATTAGTTATCACACCTTTTACAGAAGCGCAGAGGGCTGGGTAGCAGGATCAGGGCCTCACAGGTGGAGAGTAATCGAATCAGGGGATAAACCGGCCCCTCATTTCCGGGGCTACCGCTCCATTATGCTTCAAGGAGAGAAGAGGTCTGTGGTCCCGTCAGCCATGAACTAGTGCACAGTCTCTGTTGGGGCAGGAGCCCCCCTTCCCCCAGCAGACTGTCCTGAGGTCGGGGGCAGGGGCTGAGAGCTGGTGGGAGGAGGGAAGCAGAGGATGGAATGCTCTGATCACTGTATCCAGCGGCTCCTGCATCCCCCTCTCCGGGTGTCTGTCTGGCAGGACCCTGCAGCTCTACGTGCCCATCAGACAGTTCTTCTACGACCTCATCCACCCCGACTACAGCGCCGTGACCGACGTGTACGTGCTCATGTTCCTGGCAGACACCGTCGACTTCGTCATCATCGTCTTCGGCTTCTGGGCCTTTGGGGTAGGTCGGGGACCAAGGCCACTGCACACCAGGGACTAGCGCTGCTGTCCTGTGGGTGCCACCGGGCCTGAACCTGTGGTCTCCCCCCCAGAAACATTCAGCCGCGGCCGACATCACCTCCTCGCTGTCGGAGGACCAGGTCCCGGGGCCCTTCTTGGTGATGGTCCTCATTCAGTTCGGCACCATGGTGGTGGACCGGGCACTGTACCTCAGGAAGACGGTGCTGGGGAAGGTCATCTTCCAGGTCATCCTGGTGTTCGGGATTCACTTCTGGATGTTCTTCATCTTGCCTGGTGTGACCGAGAGGTAAGGCCTTCGGAAGCTAGAGCCGTGCGGGCCGCTTTCACGCAGACATTTGCATAAGGATCAGCCCGTAGGAGAAGGGAAAGTTAGGGAGTTTAATCAATGCTAAACTCAGTGTGAAGCCAAGGTGTGAGCTGATTCCTCAGAAACGTTATCACTGCATTTTATACGCATTCTCAGACCTAGTGCTCTCAGATAGGGAGGGGACGGGCTGAGCGGTCAGCGCACACCTGGGGTCCTCGTGCTGTGACCTGAGCAGTTAGAGAGACGGACTGGAGTGCGGTGTGAAGAGCGTAAGGGGATGAGAGGACGCAAAAGTGGGTCCTTCTGAGGGGTAAACACAGCAGCCCCCGTGCCGCTGCTGCTGCAGTTAATACAGCTGTTGCTGTGAAGGTGCCTTGGAGGCCGAGGACTTGGGTAGGGAAGGGCTGGCGCTGTCCCAGGAGGGGGCTGGAGGCCATCTGTCCCTTGAGCCCCCAGCTCTGGCCATGCTGACCCTCGTCGGTGCCTCCTGACAGCCTCTCCCCTCCCCTGGCAGGGCTCCCCTCCCCAAGGTCAGATCTCAGACCAGAGGGCACGCCTCCACCCAGAACAGTGCTGGGGCCAAGTTGGTGCTTCACGCATGAGCAGATGAATGAGTCAGTCCAGGAAAGAAAAACCAGGGAGACCCCTATCAACAGGAAATGCAGGCAGACCTTGGGGATACGGCGGGTTCGGTTCTGACCACCACCACAAATCGGGTGGCAGGAACTTTCTGGTTTCCCGGTGCCTATAAAAGTTACGTTTACACCAAACTGTAGTCTATTAAGTGTGCAATAGCATTATGTATTAACAACACAATGTTTATACCTTAATCTAAAAATACTTTATTGCTAAAAAATGCTACCCATCACCTGGGCGTTCAGTGAGTTATAGTAGTAACATCAAAGATCACTGACCACAGGTCACCACAACAAATACAATCGTAATGAAAAAGCCTGAACTATTGCAAGAATTACCCAATTGTGACACAGAGACACGAAGGGAGCAAATGCTGTTGGAAAAATGGTGCTGACAGACTTGCTGGATGCAGGGTGGCCACAAACTTTCCATTTGTAAAAATCACAGTATCTGTGAAGCACAGTAAAAGGAGGTGTGCCTGGTATCGGCTCTGGTAGACGATGAAAGCAAAGGGTCTGCAGAAGGGGAGCAGGGAACTGTCCATATAACATGAGAGGAGTGACCTTTTTAAGAACATGTCATGAAAAGTTCTTCATGTGTACCATCAGTTTGATCTCTTTATCAGACCTCATGAGTCATTCACAGCCAAGCCTTAGGAATAACCTGTCCGTCAAGCTGGTGAGCACCGTTTCTGGAGTAGCAAGTAATGCAAATGGATTTTCCTAATGTTGTTCAGAAACCGACTCAAATGTAATTCTCCACGAGGAAACCAAGTCTCTTCTACCAGTGGCTAGACTGACGTCTGCCCCCACCTGAACGTTCAGGCTGACTTTTTGACCTCAGTCTAGGGAATCATTGCTTTGTGATAATAAATGGTGGCAATGAAAATATTTTAAAAGGAAAATTGGAATTAGGATAATCTTTCCTGAGTCTAAAGTAGAACTAACTATATAAAGGGTTGTTACTCAGAAGACACCCAGTAGCTCCGTAAGCCTTCCATTCCACGCCGCAAACTAGGGGAGGAAAGGTAGCTCACATGATAAAGATAATTCAGAATAGGGCAAGCCGTTTGTAAAAATACTAGAATTTGGTCATAAGAACATTGTGAATCTTATTTTTTTTTGAAGAGTTGTTTTTTTTTTTTAATTTATTTTTGGCTGCGTTGGGTCTTCGTTGCTGTGCGCAGGCCTTTTCTAGTTGCAGCGAGCGGGGGGCGACTCCTCGTTGCGGTGCGCGGGCTTCTCATTGCGGTGGCTTCTCTTGTTGTGGATCATGGGCTCTAGGTGCGTGGGCTTCCGTAGTTGTGGCACGTGGGCTCTGTAGTTGTGGCACACGGGATTAGTTGCTCTGTGGCTTGTGGGATCTTCCCAGACCAGGGCTAGAACCCGTGTCCCCAGCATTGGCAGGCGGATTCTTAACCACTATGCCACCAGGGAACTCCCTTATTTGTTAGTCTTTAAAATAGAATAAGTACAATTTTCTCTGTAAATATTTAATTATAGCTATCTCTCAAAGCAGAGAAATAGGCCAAATTTAACACCCAGGATAGCTGGATGGTGAATTTTGGTAATTTGTCTGATACTTAAAAGCATCAAGGAGGCATGCTTCAGCAGCTCTCATTGAAATTCTTAATTTCAGAGAAGAAAAGACCTTAAAAAGCTTTCTAGACCTACTGTCTAATTTTCCAGATGAAGACAGGTGAGCCCATATGGAAGTGTGACCTCCCCAGAGTCACTCAGCCAATTACTGGAGGGACCAACCCCCAACCCCAGGGCTCTTGGCCCTACTGTGTGCTGCAGCTACTGTATACTGCACCTACCGTATACTGCACCTACTGTATATTGCACTCCTGCCTCCACGGGAAGCATCCCGTACTTGCTTCCAGGAAGATTTTTTTTTTAAGGTAACACAACCTATTATTTCACTCTGCAGTGTGAAAAGGATTTGATTATTCCAGCCAGTCCCAAGAGAGAGTTCCAGAGCCCTTGAGCCTAAATCTTTGCCATGTCCTGACAGGGGGTCCAGCAGAGACCAGAGCTCCCAGAAATACTGCAACAGTGAAGCCACTGAGAGTCCTTTTAGCATTTTAGTCCTTTTAGGTCAAATCGGCCAATGGTTTGGTTATTCCTGCTTGTGTTGGTGTCCTGTTGCTGCCGTAACAAATCACTACAAAGTTAGGGTTTAAAGCAATGCAGGTGTGTCGTCTTGCAGTTCTGCAGGTCAGGGGGCAGACCCAGGTCTCACTGGACTGATTCATGTGTGTGGGCAGGGCTGTGGTTCTTTCTGGGGGCTCCAGGGGAGCATCCCCCTCCCGCCCTCTTCCAGCTTCTAGAGATGCCCATGCTCTGCACCTCTCCTCCTCCTTCAAACCCAGCATCTGTTCCCCTGCCGCGTCTCCCTCCACCCATGGCTGAGCAAGGCTCTCTCCCACTAAGGACTCACTGACTGAGGCCACCTGGACAGCCCCGGTTGCTCCCCCTCTCCAGGTCCCCGACCTTAGCACGTCTGTCAAGTCCTCTTTGCCATGGGAGGTCACACGTTCCCAGGTTCTGGGGACTAGGACGTGCACGTCTTTGGGTGGGGGCTGGGGGCATTCTTCTGGCGACCACGCTGTCCTGCCAGGCTTTTGAGGAGGTCAACAGCCTAGCGACAACGCCTGCCAACCAAACACGGCTGAAACATCTGCTCTAAGGACCGAATGAATGAGAGCTTCTCTGGGGTGTCTTACAAATCGTGCATATTCAGTTCAAGTTCACGTTTATCGAGCACCTCTTAGGTCCAGGGCAGCAGACCAGGAGAAAAGGGCTGTGACACCCACGTGAATAAAGCCAGGACCTGTCGGCCTTTCACGGCCTTTCACACACGGGGCTCCCAGGCTCCCGACACTGTGAGAGTCACCAAACTATGGCCACACAAGTCCTCTGTTCTCCTGGGATCTCACCTTTGGGTCTCACCTAATGGCCATCCCTAGTGCGACAGACTAATCTGTCTTTGGTTTTGGATCTTTAATTCAAGATATATTAGGATTGGTGAGCCTCCGGCATCACTGCCGGCATGTCAGTGACAACATAATTTCTTGACATTTCAAACTGTGCTGCTACTTTTTTTTTTTTTTTTTTTTTGTGGTACGCGGGCCTCTCACTGCTGTGGCCTCTCCCGTTGCGGAGCACAGGCTCCGGACGTGCAGGCTCAGCGGCCATGGCTCACGGGCCCAGCCACTCCGCGGCATGTGGGATCTTCCCGGACCTGGGCACGAACCGTGTCCCCTGCATCGGCAGGCGGACTCTCAACCACTGCGCCACCAGGGAAGCCCTGCTGCTACTCTTTAACCTCCAAAATTCATTTTTCTTCCTTCAGATTTACTGAAAATTTCATTCATTGTTTAAAGAGAAACCATTGATTAATAGTCATATGGTCTAAATCCTTTCCAGACAAGGAAAGCATAAGGGGAGAAATAGATTAGGAGTCTTTTAAGCCCTACAGAAGAAAATTAGGGCTACCGGTCATAACATTGAGGACAAGGAAGCTCGGATATCTTGAATAATTTATCTGATAAATGGCTTTTTCTGTGTGTATCACACCATATAGCCCGCAAATATCCAAGGGTTCCCTACAGTCTACACAGCTCTGCACGGTAGGTGCCGAGGGAGACGGGGAGGGCGTGACTCCAGCCTCCGGGAATAAACCATGCAGAGATGCCACAGACAAACGCTTCCCAGTACAGGACAACCTCAGTGTCCCTAATTACAGTTAACGTGATTGCTTCAGGATCTGTAGGTTAACTAGTACTCATTCCAAGTTGACCCACTTTAACATCATAGAAAGGGAATTTTTTTTAGTAGGTAAAACAGGGGTTGGACTTTTTATAAAGAATAGAAGGCAACACAGTTTTAAGTCTTTGATTATAATTTTGATAAATATAGAAGAATTCTTTCCCATGTAGTTTTTATATCAAGTATCTGTAAAATCAAAGGGCATTTTCCTGGAGAGATTAAAATAAATGTGATTTCCTAGAGTTCTACCAATATGGACGGTTCCTAGAAAGATGAGGAACTGGATAGTTGATGGGGGCTCTCCGTAAAGTATCTGATATCTTACTGGTAACTTGTCAAGCGCCCACCATGGTCAAATGCAGTTAAAGTAATTCATTAGGTCCTGAAATACCAAGGCTGGGTTTCTCCACAGCAGAGACACTCAAAAGCAACATTTCTGAGATCTTTAGCTGCCGACATCCACGTGGAGGCCTCTAGGCCCCCAGACACATAGGCCCACATGCTCCTGGCTTGTTCTTAGATCTTGTCAACTAAAGAATAGCTGTTCTCAATGAAAAAATAGTACATGTTTTCTTCTGATAACAAAATTGAAAATTAATAAGACAAATCCAGGATACATACAAAGAGTAATACACTGCTTTGTCTAAAAAACTTAAAGTATCGCTCTTAATTTTAAACACAGGGAAGATTATACTTAAGTCTTACTGAGTTGAAAGTCGGATTCATTTTTAAAAATTTGTACTAATCATGTTTAAGACTCACAGGATGCCGCATTTATCCAAAGGTAAAAATGATCCTATAGGTCATCATTCTTTGAAAATGTGTTCTAATTTTTTTTCCAGTGTGAAATTTAGTTCCACTAAATTTTCACTCAGACTTACGCTAGCATTCATGAACTGTTCAACACTATGGGCCTCTTCATTAACTGTCCACCAGGAGAAGGAACTACCATCTCTAGCTCTGAGGATGTCATTAGAAAAAGGCAAGTTAGTAGATCAGAGAGTCATGGATTTTTAGAGCGAGGGAAACGTTTCATAGAGACATTGATGTTTAGAAAAATGATGGCTTGAGGAACAAACTCCATAGCAAACAGAACTGGAACCAAAATCCAGGTGTCAAAAATGTATTAATCCCTGACCTGTCTTATGTACGTATAGCAAAAGAAAAAAAAATGGGGGTTCATTTCTCAGAATTCTTTCTCCTACATCTTCCAAATTATGCATCTTGTCAAGTAAAAACCACATTTTGGTTTTTTCTTTGTTGAGCTTCAATCTGGACCATGATAGAGGCACCATCAAAGTCCTGAGAAAATGTTTACTAGTAAATCCACTTAACAGTCATTTATTTTAATTATGGCTGAAACAACTGAATCATGCTCTAATAAATTGGGGGCACATTCAGAGCAATTTTTTTTAATCATTAGATTTTCTGACCCCACCTCTTGCCTTTTGAAGAGATCCACTATGTAGAGAGAATTTACTGAATTGTCTTTAAGTGCCAGATGGGCAATTAGGCTTTTTTAAATTTATGCTAAACTGGTGTCCTTTTGTTCCAGAAGAGTATTCCATCTTCCACTTTTCTGTGTTTTCACGTCTCAGGAAATTCAGCCAGAACCTGGTCGCCCAGCTTTGGTACTTCGTGAAATGCGTGTATTTCGGGTTGTCCGCCTACCAGATCCGCTGCGGCTACCCAACGCGGGTCCTCGGAAACTTCCTCACCAAGAGCTACAACTACGTCAATCTCTTCTTGTTTCAAGGGTGAGACGCTCTGTGCTGTCACAGCCACTCACAGAGCGGGGCTGGCCGCGGGACGGCATTGTGTCCCCTCCCTGGGAGGGAGTGGAGAAGAAGCTGGTGACCTCAGCATGTGGGTCCCTGCAGGGCTCCTACAGTGTTTGACAGGAGAGCATGTGTGGCCCTTGAAACGCCTTTTTGTGTGTGATTCCACCCACCTGGCCAGGATGCTGCTCTAAAGTCAGTCGCGTGGGTTCGTTTTCTATTTCTGTATCGTGTATAATTACACTGATAATATTTCAGGATGAAAAATTGGGGTCCATGATCCTAAGTATTAATATATTCTGGGCACAGTGCAACAGAATATTTGGAATCTGGAGTGTTCCAAAACGCCTCTGGAATTTTGCTTGTGCAACAAGCCATCCATGGGAGGGGCATTGATTCCACTAATGTCGCCTAATGTCAACCTGAATGCCACGCGACTTGCCTGTTCCTGGTAGGAAGTTATTACCACTCACACGGACATGTTCGTTCTTCTGTGTGAGGGTTTCAGTGTGAGCATCCCCTCCCGGTTCCCATGGAGATTATACCACAGGGTGAAGGGTCAGGCTGCTGGGGCACTGCTGGCCCCTGGAGCATTGCTGGCCCCTGGAGCACCAGACGTGGGGACTGGGGACTCAGTCATGGAGGAGTGTTGAGTGTGCTCGGGTGTTGAGAACCACCACGCATGTCAGAGTTTCACTGCATGCTGCCCCGTGTGGGGAGGGGGCCTGACACGTCTTCAAGGGGGTGGAATAGCACTCCCTTCAAAGCTGAGGAGCTCAGGGGAGAAATCCGGGTGGCAACCCAAGCTGCTGGGAGGGTCTGGGATGAGCCCCAGCCTGGAAGGAGCTCTGTGTCGGTCAAGAAACAAGGACCAAACCCAGACCCCAGAGGAGCCCAGGCCATCCCACTTCCAGCTGAAATACAAGGGACTGAGCCAGGGTCTCGATAGCCTCAGTCACCTAGTAGGTCCCCCAGCCGTGGGCCCTGCTGTGCCCCTGATGACGTGGCCACGCCTGATGACTTTTCTCACCTCTCCTCATCTTTCCCCGACCAAGAGTATAACCTTCCCTAGCTCATTCGACAGCAAAGCCCCCATAATTCAATAATCCTACGACCAGCAGATTCTCATAGCAGAAGCAAATGTTTAAAATGAACTTATTTACAAAACAGAAACAGACTCACAGACTTAAAGAATGAACTTATGGTTACCAGTGGGGAAAGGATAGTTAGGGAGTTTGGGATTGAAATGTACACACTGCTATATTTAAAATGGATAACAAACAAGAACCTACTGTATAGCACAGGGAACTCTGCTCAATATTCTTTAACAACCTAAATGGGAAAGGCATTTGAAAAAGAATATATACATGTATATGTATAACTGAATCACTTTGCTGTACACCTGAAACTAACACAACATTGTAAATCAGCTATACTCCAATATAAAATAAAATTTAAAAAACAAAAAATGTTGAGTGAAAGAAGGGCACCAAAATAAGAAGAAAAAAAATGAGAAAAGAAAAAAAACAAAATCAGCAACTTGAAAAAATAAAAAAGTAAAATTGTGTTTGCAGATGATATGACCTTTTTAAAAATTTTTTTTTAACTGAGGTATCGTTGATTTACAATGTCGTGTTACTTTCTGCTGTACAGCAAAGTGATTCTGGTATACACACACACACACACACACACACACATACACACATAACCTTATAGGTTATTACAAAATACTGAGTATGGTTCCCTGTGCTATACAGTAGGTCCTTGTTGGTTAGCTATTTTATATATAGTAGTGCGTAGATGTTAATTCCAACCTCCTAATTTATCCCTCCCCCCATATGATCTTTATATAGAGAAAATCCTAAAGACTCACTCAAAACCTGTTGGAACTAATCAACATTTTCATTCAGTGAAGTTGCAGGATATAAAATCAACATATAGAAATCAGTTGTATGTTAAATTTAGCCAAAGATAAATGTAGCCAAAGAAGTGAAAGATTTGTACAATGAAAACCATGACTTTAATGAAAGAAACTGAAGACCCTTCAAACTTATTTGAAAAGGGAATTCCAGTTTGTTAAGACCATTAGCAAAAAAAAAAAAAAAGAAAAAAATTAATCTTAAGAATGAAAAAGACCTTTTTCAAAAAGGTATTTTTGTCAAAAGACAAAAATCCTTTATTGGACTTACAATGAAAAGCAGTTGTATTCCAAGTTGGATTTGACCATAATGGTCACCTTGAGAATTTTTTCTAAGTTGTAAGGGCTGAAACAATCAGGACCTCCATGAGCCCTCGGGGTTGGCCAGGTGATGGGGGCCCATCCCACAACTGTCCCTGTAACAAGACATGGTTCCTGCTAGGTTCCGCCTCGTCCCTTTTCTGACGGAGCTGAGGGCCGTGATGGACTGGGTGTGGACAGACACGACCCTGAGCCTGTCCAGCTGGATCTGTGTGGAGGACATCTATGCTCACATATTCATCCTCAAGTGTTGGCGGGAGTCGGAAAAAGTAAGCCAATAATGATGCCTTAGCCCTATTTGTTTCTCTTAGATACAGGCTGTTATTAATAGGAACTTATGCAAATTTTCCGGCCAAATAAATGAAGCAGAAACTACTAGGACCTATAAATGCCCCATTGATTTCACCCCACGCGAGTTAGGAATCTTGGACCTGCTGTTGCCTTAGTGAGAATAGCATCCAGATTTGTTCTTCTTCTGGCAGCTGTATATTGTGGTTAAGAAGAAGGTGTATTGCTGTACAACCCAATAATTCTGAAGTGGCTCATTTGAGAGCAAGAGGGAATGAGATGTGCTGGAGAAAAGTGGGGTCAGGTGGCTGGGACTCAGGGTCAGCCTCTGATTACTCTTTGATGAGGGACAGACAATGTAACATCCTGTGCAAAGGAAATTGAAGTGCAAATATTTGCATATTCTGCTAGGTTGGATATTAAGGTTGACATATGGATAGAATTACTGTTATTTAAGGGATGTAGTCCAGCCTCCTGAGTAGCCCTGAAGGGAAACAGGTCCTGGAGAAGCAGCAGCTAAGCAAGGAACAGGCCTGTAGACCGAGCGGTTTCCACAACACGTGGCAAAGCTGGGCCCTCCACCGCCCGCAGCCTGAGCTTGGGGCTGGGGAGCCCTTGATGCAACAAACAGAGGTGATTCCAGCTTGGACAGCGTGGTCCTGACAACGTGTGTCATGAATGAAGTTAAAATGTTTTCCGCCCACCATGCTGGGGAGGAGCCCGTTGAAAGGCACAGGTTTTGAATATTCAGGAATTTAAAATATCCTTATCTCGCCTGATCCCTTAAAACCAGAGGTTTATTCAGCAGAGGCTTTGGTCCCTTGGTCCATAGGTCAGCCCCCAGCAAACCCACACAGCCCTGTTAAGGAGAAAGCCGCTCAGGCCGTGACGGACCCTGTGTTCCGTGTAGCGGGATCCTCGCAGCCCTGCATCACTGCCTGCCTTGTTCCCGGGTTGGGACAGAGTGGATTCAGAGCAGATTCAGGGCGGACCCCGTGGTTAGAGCGCCCGCCCTTCCCCCACCCGCTTCTCCCCGGGGACCCCGCCTGAGCGCGTGGCCCTTCTGTTGCAGAGGTACCCGCAGCCCCGGGGGCAGAAGAAGAAGAAGGTGGTCAAGTACGGGATGGGGGGGATGATCATCGTCCTGCTCATCTGTATTGTCTGGTTCCCTCTGCTCTTCATGTCTCTGGTCAAATCTGTCGCCGGGGTCATCAACCAGCCCCTGGACGTCTCGGTCACAATTACCCTGGGCGGGTACCAGGTAACCGCGCCTCCCTCCGGGGTCTCCCCCCTCCCCCGGCCCCTGCCAGTGCCTTGCCCAGCCGTGCTTTTCCCCGATAACCACCCAGAGGACTTACTTAGGTTTTGCGGACATATTTTCTGTCTGAATTTTGACTGTTCTGCAAATATGTGATATGTGAGCTAAGGTGCAGAAGACAGTGAAGGGAGAGTTCTGTTCTAGTTGTGGGTGATACACGACCTAATATTTTTCTTAGAACCCAGGATGCAGAGAAGTGCTTTGGAATAGTAACCATCCTGTGTGTCTTTGTTTTCCAGCCTATTTTCACAATGAGTGCCCAGCAAAGCCAGCTGAAAGTTATGGACCAGCCAAAGTTTAATAAATTTATTAAAGCTTTTTCTAAGGACACTGTAAGTAAATGCATGGAGTCGGTCTCGATGAACACCTGTCATATCGACCAGCTGACTGTTGTCACCTTATTTATTCACCACTTTACCATGGCCTGAGCCGGGGGGCAGGACTTTCTGGGGGTTATTAGTCACACACAGCAGGTTCCTGGCCACTGGCCGCTTTGATCATCTAAGATGTTATGTCTATATTATCAGACGTGTGATAATAAACATATTTCTAATTCAGAGTATTTTCATGATAAGCACAACAGGTGTTGATCCTTTATAAATTTTTTAAATTGTGGTAGATATTGATCCCTTTAACTGGTAGGGAATCTATCCTAAGGAAATCATTCAAAATATGGAAAAGCTCCAAGAGGTGCCTGTTTGTGGTGGCACGCTCCGCCTTAGTAAGAACTAGAGGCAATTTGGGATTCAACAAGTAGGGAATGAGTGAATCAATTACAGCAGATTTTTCAGGCAACTTCCTTTGTAATAAGATAATCATTACAAAGATGATTTCATGGCACGAAAATTTCTCAAAATGAAACATAACTTTAAAAAGACATTATTATTTTTAAATGATTTAAAAAATGAAGATATGCATCCTCTACTGTATAAAACAGGGATGATGTTCTGGTGACAGAGCTGTGGTAGACATCGTCCTTCTCTCTACATTCCATGCTTTCAATAAGATGGTAGCATGATTCTTCATAATTAAAATGGCTTTACAGATGATGCTTTTTATTTAAATAAAGTGATTAGGCAAACAGATGCTGTTCTCTTTTGTAAAATGATCGGCCTGTAAGTGCACACTGTCAAAAGTAATCTTGAGGAGTGCACAGCTGTGAGGAAGGGCCCCGATGTCCTGGGTGGATTAAATTTGACTCTCATGAGATGGACGTTCCCCAATAGCTGATAAATGTCTTTCTTTAGTGGGAAGGAAAAAATGACACTAAATCATCTGATTTTTCTTTACTGTTTCATTGGAATGATTCCATGGCCGTGGGTGTGGCACCATCACCACTGAGGTTTGGTGATGTGACTGGAGCTGACAGTGTCAGAACACACCAGGCAACCCATTGTAGGGAGGTGCCTTTCAGAGGAAGAGATTCCCCCTGGATACGGTCAGTTAAAGGGAAGAGCAGTTACTTTCTTACACATCCTCAAGTATGTATCTGTTTATGCAAGTGTATTTGTGTGCACACAGGGTGCTATGCAATTTCTGGAAAATTATGAAAAAGAAGACATAACAGTAGCAGAACTGGAAGGAAACTCAAATTCTTTGTGGACCATCAGCCCTCCCAGTAAGCAGAAAATGATACACGAGCTCATGGATCCCAATAGTAGCTTCTCTGTTGTTTTTTCATGGAGTGTGCAGAGGTAGTTACTGTATTTCCATGCATAATTCCCCCTTCCCCAACCTGAACTCGGGGCGGGGGTTGGGGGGTGTGGAAGGATACACACCTCAGATTAATTCTGATTTTGGTTCACATTACTTCCTGGGAACATTCATTCGATGCTACAGCTAACATTTTTGTTTAGTAAATAATGATTTGCCTGGGAATCATTGACAAAACGAAGAACTTCTTAGTTTTCCTTTTTTCTACTAACTTCAGCTTTAAAGAGGCTGGCAGTGAGATCTGTGACCAAGAGAGAAAGGTGGAGAGAAAAGAAAGAGGGTGATGACTCATAACATGAAACTGAGTCAGGTGAAGTGTAACATTTCCCCGAGCTTGGGGGTCTGGTCTTAATCACAAAGGACTTGCAGCGCTGGGAACCCTGATTCTCTCTTGCCGGCCTCCAGCACTTGGGGAGCCCCAGCACCTCTTTTCTCCAAGCCTGAGCTGGGAGAGCCTCTGGGCAGTCCCAGGACGGGAGAGCAGGGAGATTCCTTCCCACCCCATCTGAGCCTCTGGCCAGCCTGCAGCCACCACGCAGCACGTCTCGCAAAACGTTCTTGCATCCGAAAGCCCGACGTGTCCGGGGGGCCGTTGGGGGGCCTGGACGTAATACCCGGTCTGATTAGCTCAGTTTCCTTCATGACAGGCTGTGACTCAGGACTCTGGGCAGTCCCGTGATAGGTTTGTTGGGTCCACAATACCAGCTTCTTGGTTGAAATTAAGAAAGAATCATGATAGGTAAGGAAGAAAGCCTTCTAGAATCTGACATCACAAGGAAGTAGTAAGAAGTATTTTGAAGGAGGCTGCTCAGAATTTAAAGAACTCCTTCTTTAATCTTATTTTCTCCTTTTAAATGTCCCAAACTCCTCACGTGGAATTCTGTACTGGCAAAAATGCACTTCCTAGCCCTTCCTTTGAAGAGCCACCAAAAGAAATTAGAAATCAATTTGATTGAACATTCTGCTTTTGATTGAGATATAATTGACATGTAGCATTATTTTAGTTACAGGGGTGCAACATAATGATTTGATATTTGTATACGTTTCAAAATGATCACAAGAAGTCTAGTTAACATCCATCACCACACAGTTACCAAAAATTTTTTCCCTGTGAGAACTTTTAAGCTCTACTCGTTTAGCAACTTTCAAATATACAGTACAGTATTATTAACTGCAGTCACCATGCTGTACATCACATCCCCAGGACTCACTCATGTTATAACTGGAATTTGTGCCCTTTGACCCCCTTCACCCATTTCATTCACCACCACCCCACCTCTGGGAACCACCAATTCATTCTCTGTATCTATGAGTTCAGGTTTTGTGTTTTTATTTTTAGATTCCACATACAAATGAGATTATATAGTATTTCTGACTTATTTCACTTAACCTGGATGAAACCTGATGGCATTAGGCTATCACGAATAGCAAGATTTCATTCTTTATGGCTGAATATTCCTGTGTGTGTGTGTGTGACATCTTCTTTATTCATTTATCTGTCAATGTACTTAGGTTGCTTCTGTATCTTGGCTATTGTAAATAATGCTGCAGTGAACATGGGGGTGCAGATATCAAGTTAGTGTTTTCATTTGCTTTGGAAAAATACCCAGAAGTGGGATTGCTCAGTTACATGGTAGCTCTATTTCTAACTTTTTGAGGAACCTCCAAACTGTTCTCCATAGTGGCTGCAGCAACTTACATTCCCACCAACAGTGCACAAGGGTCCCCTTTTCTCCTCACCAAGAGCACTTGGTAACTCTTGTCTTTTTAATGATGGGCATCGTGCCATTCTGACAGGTGTGAGGTGATATCTCATTGTGAACGTTCTTTTTAAAACATAGATTCTCTGAGTCCCCATGGAGACTAACGTCACTGGGTTAACATAAAGTGTTTCAGAATCCCTGTTAGATCATCAGGGATTTCTCTTGTGTCCCCACACTCTCCTCCTCACCTGTATCTGTGTTAAAGGTGTCTGAGGCCTCCCTGGATGTCTAAGAGGCTGGCTGTAAAGGTGAGGAGGACAGGTTGAGGTTGACGATTGTGGACACAGTGAAACTTGGTGAGATTAATAGTTCAGTGAGTTTTTAACCTCTCCTGCAGACTTCTGAATAACCACTGACATTGAGCTCTTTTTTTTTCCTTCACAGAAACATGAGTCTGGGTGCAAAAGCCGAAATAGCAACAGATAAGCTTTCTTTTCCTCTTAAAAATACGACACGAGAGCACATTGCTAAAATGATAGCTGGCAACAACACAGAAAGTTCCAAAACGCCAGTGTAAGTTGATTGTCATTTTTAATACAGTGTTAGAAGGTGTGTGTATCTGGTCCAAATCTCCTCTACAAATACGTGTGTGCAAGAAACGCCATTTCTTCCTTCTTTGGTAACTCAAGTGAGCCTGTACTTAGAGTCCTTGATGGGCTGGATCAAAGCGCATCTGCTCTCCTCCCGCCCCCCCTGCCCAGCTCGTCCGGGGACGACTGACCTCTTCTCTGGGGAGCAAACCTTGCTCTCATCTGACCGTAATCACCAAAAGCCAGGGAAAGGCCCTGGGAGACCCTTTTCTACTATTACTCCTGTCCCTGGGGCACCAAATGCCTGGCTAACAAATGGGCATGAGAAGAAGGCAAGGGGGTGGGTGGAAATTTGAGGGGAAAAACTGTATCTTAATATATTATCCTGCCACACAATACTCCACTCCAAACATCTGAGCTGTGACGTTTAGATTCTAACATGAGAACCAGCAGGAGAAAAACACTGCCATTGGTCCAAAACTGCTAAGTAAAGTATTCCAGACGCCCACCAGCCGCAGCCCAGCTCTGTCCCCTGTCTGCCCCAGCCCCAGGTCAAAGTGCTGAGTGTGAGGACTGCCACGATGCAGCCCTCAGACATGGTCCCTAAAGCACCCCTTGTCAATCACTAAACACTAAGGGCCCCTGAGAACCGTCGGATCCTCCCCCATCACTTCCTGGATGAGAAAACAGCCCTGGAAAGATGGAGTGGCCCGTGCGCAGGGTGGGCTAAGGGCTAGGATGCCAGTCCTCTGCCCCCCCGCCCCTCACTCCCGTCTCTGGATCTGCTCGGGCAGCCCACTTCACTAGAGAGAGTTTTGGAATCCCAAAAATTAAAATTGGAAGAGTGGTAGGATCCTAGCAAGAAAGACAGCCCCTGGCTTCAGAAAAGTCACAGATGTGGGAAAATCTCTGCAGCAGTTTTTAAGCCATTAACCAGCTTGTGTACAGAGTTGGCATGAGTGTCTGGTTAGAACCTGGTGAATTTATTCGGCTTCAGAGACTTCTCATTTTAATGGAAACCGATAAACTATGATGACTGCACATCGCGTAGTTATAGGAAGACTCTCCCCATTACTTGTTTGAGATGAGGTCAAAAATAGCAACAAGAACAACAAAAAAACAATTTTGCATGGGTAAAACAACTAAAACCTAATTATCCTTTTTTCTCTTAATGCCCAGGACCATAGAAAGGATTTACCCATACTACGTGAAAGCACCCAGTGACTCTAACTCCAAACCCATAAAGCAACTTTTATCTGGTAAGAACGAGAAGGAATTGTTTCAGAACGTTTCTTAATCTTTCTTTTATTCAATGTCTGTAGTTTGCCTTTTCAGCCTTTATCAAGCTCCTTTCCAGTTTTCTTCCCCGTGACATGGTTTGCAAGAAGCATAAGGCTCTGAGCTGTGTCCACCAGCAAGAAGGGATCATTTACTCACCTGGGGGCGTGTTCTTCATCTTCCTTTGTTCATTGATACAGAACTTGATTGACTTAAATCCACGTTCAGTGACATGTTAACTGATTCATCAGAATCTGTTTGTTTCTATTAGCAACCGTATCTTGGGCAGAAAACTGCCTAATACAGCGTTAACTCTGAAGGCCCCACGATAAGAATAAAAAGATGGCAGGAAATGGACTTGATTCAGCCCGAGGGTGACTGAGTACCAGTAGTAGGGCTCCATCTATTAAAGCTCTCAGCCAGCAAAAAAGTCACCTCCTCTGGGAAGTCCTCAGGGATCATACCACCCAGAAGCGGTCGCCCCCAGCTAACAGACCTTGTCAGTGCCGGGGCTTGCCACGTGCCCATAAATAGTGCTTGTGTGCATGGCCTTTCCCATTGAACCAGGCTGCGTGCAACCTGGTGACCCCTTAGCACCTCCTGGAGCACCTTCCTCCTGGAAGGCACTCAGTAAACGGTGGTAACATGAAGGAATCCATCAGTTCCATCAACAGTCAGCTACTGGGGTTTTTAAATGTCTAATTAGTTGTTTGGAATTGTCAGCCAAGATGCTCCGGTGATGGGTCTCCATTCACCCTGTGACTTTGCTGCTGTCTCATGTAGCAACAGGACTGGCCTCTTAGAGAAAGAGAGAGACCCCCACGGCCAGGCCCCCTCCTCCTTTTCCTCTCACAGAGCCGATGTGCCCGTGTGTCCCCATCCTGGAACCAGATGCCATGGGTACCAACCAGGCCATCCTGGTTCATCTGAGAATGGCTGAAGTGCATTAAATCCATAAACTCTCCTGCTAATTTGATTTCATGTTTCTCCTTCTCCAGAAAATAATTTCATGAACATCACCATTATTCTGTCCAGAGACAATACAACTAAATCCAACAGTGAGTGGTGGGTTCTCAACTTGACTGGGAATAGAATCTACAACCAGCATGCACAGGCCCTGGAGCTGGTGGTCTTCAATGACAAGGTCAGCCCCCCAAGCCTGGGGTTCCTGGCCGGCTACGGGTAAGGAACCATTTCACCATTAACAGTTACGAGATCCCACTTATGTATCACACCAAGTTGAGGATGGCAAGTCTTTTATCTTCTTAGAATTCTAAAATTCTATAGCTGCATTATTAGAATTCACAGATCCTTGGCCCTTCATTTTATTTTATTTATTTTTAAATTTTATTGAAGTCTAGTTGATTTACAGTGTTGTGTTAATTTCTTCTGTACAGCAAAGTGACTCAGTTATTCATATATATATATTTTTTTTTTTTTCTTTCCATTATGGTTTGTCACAGGGCCCTTCGTTCTAAAAACTGAGGAACCAGAGTCCCAAAGAAGTCAAAAATGCCTTGTGTGAGTCCCACCACCAAGCATAGGACCAGAAGCCATATTTCCAGCTTCTTAACTATTCCTTCCTGTTACAGCACAGTTTAGTGCAATTCAGGGCTTAAACTAGAAATAGGCAGAGTTCTCTCTTTTCTGCTAACATTGCCTTCTGACCTGAACAGATGGAGAGTCAGGTAGAAATCACAGTTTGGGACATACCCGATGTTACCATTTCTCCATGTTCTGACACTTCAACCCTAGGACAGGCACACCCCCTACAAGATGCTAGTACAAAGTTTTCTTCTTCCCAGAACGAGCCTCTTAAGAAATCACTGTCTATCCAGAATTTTATTATAAACATGAATCCCTGAGAAAGTCCTGGGTACAGAAAAGTGTATAAAATAATTGCATTTCTATCACATATATATATTTTTAACATCTTTATTGGATTATAATTGCTTTATAATGGTATGTTAGTTTCTGCCTTATAACAAAGTGAATCAGCTATACATATACATATATCCCCATATCTCCTCCCTCTTGCATCTCCCTCCCACCCCCCCATCCCACCCCCCCATCCCACCCCTCTATCTACCAGATATGTTACGTAGCTTATGCATATAATATACGCAGTAAAACCACCAGAAGTTCATACACGAAACTATTAACATTGGTTGTTTCCAGAATGTAAGAAAGATTTCAAAGGACTTTCATTTTTCAAGTCCCACAGTTCTGTAATGTGTAATTTTTTTAAAAAAAAGCATGCATTACCCTTTAATCAGCAGAAAGGTCAATGTTTTCACCAAGGGGAAACAACTTAAGCCTTGGTAAGTCTATCACGTCTTTTATGGCATTTGAGGGAAAATGTTCAATTTTTTTTTCTTTTAGGCATGTTCTCTTAACCATATGTAACGGCCAGATACATTTCTACCTCATTTTTTTTTTTCAGTATCATGGGCCTCTACGCTTCAGTGGTCCTGGTGATTGGGAAGTTTGTCCGTGAATTCTTCAGCGGGATTTCTCACTCCATCATGTTTGAAGAGCTTCCGAATGTGGATCGGATTTTGAAGTTATGCACAGATATTTTTTTAGTTCGAGAGACCGGGGAGCTGGAACTGGAGGAGGACCTCTATGCCAAATTAATATTCCTGTACCGTTCGCCAGAAACCATGATCAAATGGACCAGGGAGAAAACAAACTGACGCCCCAGGCCACAGACCACAAGCCAAGTTCACATTGGAATTTTCCAAAGAAAAAAAGAAAAGCACAATACTCTCCTAAGAGCTAAGCATTTCTAATTCGGTGGAAACGGTCTCTCTTCTGACTGCTGCAGAAGGACTGGGCTTCCTTTTGCCCTCAGAGCTACGAGCAGAGGTACTCTCGAAAAGTCCTTTGTAATTCCATTCCTCTGAAATCAGGGCTACTCGCTTTATGTTTTAGTGCCGGTGTCTTGCAGTCTGATGGACTACGTGTTGGAGTCACTGATGGGTCTCGTCCCTCAGAGGAACAGAACAGGAGGAGGAGAAGGAAGGAGAGGCCTTCTCCTGTGAGGGGCGGCGCCCTCCGAAGAGACGCTACAATGCAACGCAATGCACGGGGCTCTGCGGCCAAGGGGACACTGCCGTGAGGAGGACGGGGGCCCTGCACCCCGAATACGCAACAGAACGGGGACTGAAAACTCCTACCCATATGTCTAGAGGGGAAACAGGGAGGGGGCCAGTGACCCATGGCGATGCCAGTGGAAGGATAAGCCTCATCCTAAGCAAAAACATAACATTAGTGACACTTACTGCCTTACCTTAACTGAAGACTAATGAGACGTCTTTCCATTAAACACCAGTGACCTCTCAGGAAAAAACAGCAGCAAAACAAATACGTGGACATGGTGTTGCTGAGGCCCAGGTGGTGGGTGACTCACTCTGACCTGGTGGTTTTCTGGTTCAGAGAGTTACTGCTCTCCGTGAAACACCGACGCCCAGCTGGAGGCGGGGTCCTTGGACGTTGTCACCTTTACTGACTGAGGTCTGAGCTCTCCTCTGCCCCACCCCCACGCTTCCTCCCATTTCCATGATTCACGGCAGTGGTTTTCCCAGTATGTGACATTTTTTCCCCCTGTTTTTCAGGTCTATCAACGAGTTTACATATTCCAATTCACATTTTTACATCTGAGACGGGTTTTTTTAAGTTCAAAATTATGGAAGAAATATGTATATTGAGCTTGGGGAAATAAACAAATGGCCTTTTCTTAAATTATTATTATGGGTCATACAACCTCTTCATGAAATAACAATGTAGCATGAAAAACTGATGATTGAAATGTAGTTTTCATTCCATATTAAAAGACAGTTTCTGAGAAGAATCATCGAATGGACTAGACTATGTCCCCCCAAAAAAAATGATCCTCTGTAGTTTGGGTTCAGGACTGACAAAATAAAGCACATCCTGCAAAGTCACCTCAAGAATCCTCTTCATTCTGCCCTACTGCGTGAACTGGGAAAGGCGACTTCTCTGTCCTGTGTACCGGGAGCTAGAAAAATCAGCTAAGAATCCACTTCTTGTTGGTTGCATTGTGGGTTTTCTCATGTGGGTGCTCTATGGGAATAATAAAAGCAGGAAACAACTGGTGAGAAATTAATTTCCCAGAAGGAAACCATTACAGTGAATATGGATCTTTTAAGACATATCAGAGTTCAACTGATGCCCCGTGGCTTCTAGGGAATCAGTGCGAACCTGTGCTTCAGCTGTGAAAGCCGCGTGCCTACCCCCTGCTTAGAGAAATGCTCGTCATCTTAGCAATAAACTCAGAGCACTCAGGGAGCTCTTCAGCCCACACATGATTTCCCAACAGCAGGAAGCGTCTTCCTGCACGTTCCTGGTTGTGAATTCTTTCTTTTAAAAATGTCAGCAAGGGACCTCGAGAGAGCACATTACGGCATATTTAGGAAGAGAAGGAATAGGAATCCTTCTAACAGGCGTAGAGGTAAAGGATGCCAGGATGGTAAACAAGTCCCATGGTTCAAGAAAAAGCCTCAGGTGTGGAGGAGGGAGGACACAGAACGACACAGAGAGATGTAGAAGGACCAGCCCTGCCGAGGCCTGTGTCGGAGTGGGACTCCCCAGAGAAGGAGGTGCCTCTGCTGGGACCCCCGGCCAGCCCGTCACGACCCTGTTCAGCCCAATTATCTGACAACGTGAAGGGGTCAGCAAGCTGTAAACCGGCTTAATCCTCAGCCTCAAATGAGTGCCGGACCAGGCCCAGAGATGAGGGACACATGTCCCCTTAGAATATGTTCTCTGGAGACAGCTCTGAGAGGGGCCCCGTCCCCAAGGACCTGGGGGGGGGGGGTCTGGCCAGCGAGGAGGGAGGACCAGGCAGAGGGACGTGGGGCTTCACCCAGCCCTGGGGGTGCTGGTGAGCTGGGGCCGCTCTTCCAGGTCCTGAGCAAAGGCCCAGCATCTGGGTGCTTTATGCATAATTGCCAAAATCTTGGAAGCAACAAAGATGTCCTTCGGTAGGTGAATGGATAAATAAATAAAACTGTGTTAGAATCCAGACAATGGAATAGTATTCTGCAGTAAAAAGAAATGAGCTCTCAAGACATGAAAAGACATGGGGGAAACATAAATGCATTTTACTCAGTGAAAGAAGCCAATCTGAAAAGGCTACATACTGTATGATTCCAAATATATTACGTTCTGGAAAAGGCAAAACTATCCAGACAGTAAGAGATCAATGGTTGTCAGGGGTTAAGGCGGAAGGAAGGGAAGAGGCAGAGCTCAGAGGATTGTAGGGCAGTGAAAATACTCTGTATGAAACTGTAATGATGGATACATGTCATAAAATACATTTGTCCAGACCCATAGACTGTACACCACCAAGAGTGAACTGTAATGTAAACTATGGCCTTTGGGTGACAATGATGTGTCAATGTCAGGTCCTCATTTGTAACAAACGGCCCATCTGGCGGGGGATGCTGATAATGGGGGAGACTGTGCATGTGTGGGTCCGGAAGTCTATGGGAAATCTGTGTACCTTCCTCTCAATTTTGCTGTGAACCCAAAACTGCTCTAAAAAAATTGTTTCAATAAAAAAAAAGCCACCTGTAATGTTGATAAATATTGATAAAACTCAGCGGGGGGAATGAATATGAAAGTGGGGAGAGACCAGGAATATTACAGTGATGCTATTCTTCCCCATGGAAAAACCCATGCAGAATAGGGGAGAAAAAGTCCTCCCAGATCTTCTCCCAGATCTTCTTCTTTAAACCCCTTAATCATTAGCCCCTGATTAGCCAAGTATGTGGCCATCCTCCCTGGAGGAAGGAAGCCAGCCTGGGGACCCTCTAACTCCCCTGAGCCCACATCAAGTCCATCCTCCATCACCAACATCATGGGACCTCCAGTGGTCAGTTTAGATTTTGTCCCCAGAAGGCTCTGAAATGGCTCAGAAACTCCATCAATTAAGTGATTTCTATACCACTCCACACCTAAGACCAAACTTTTAGTCCTTATTCAATTTCCCATCACAAACTACGGTCCAGGCACTTGGTCCAATGTCACCTCTGTGAGGATGTGCAGAGAAATAAAATGACATCCCTAAGATACGTCAAAATAAAATGCTAACATGGAAATACTTCAACCTTAAATGCAAGTCTCCTTTCACAATTTTTCAGGGAGAAACGAAAGTTAAAACAGTAAATCAAGTTAATGTCCAAGGATTAAAGAAGATGGATTAAATTATCTTACCTTCATGAGTTAACAGTCAAAGACAGTAGAGCCGTGTCCCCATTCTTGGGAGGAACACAGGCCACTTCAGGGAAGAAGCTCGTGGCATCTTCACAGGGCCTTTTGGTACTTCAGATGTTCATTCCACTCAACACCAAGTTTCTGATTGTGCCTCATTTTTAAGAGTCCCAAAATCAGTAAGACCCACAGAACTTGCTCATAATGACCAAATTTCAAAAGCATTTGAGACAAGTCCCTGCCTGCCCAGCTGTCCAAGGCCAATGCGTGTCTCAGAAGCATAAAGGGTATTTGCCAAAACCCAGAGCAGAAGCTCAACGGAAGCCTGGTGGAGTCACGTGGGTCCGAGACTGGCTGGGAAGCCTGTCTGTCGAGTCAGGTGAGCAGAATCCAAAACCCTGACCGTGACCTTCACCCAGTGCAGGGCTGCATCCTGGTGCGTGGTGACCTCTGGCTGCTGCGTCTGTCTTTGGGAGAGATACCCCCATTGCACCCCACCCCCTCTCGCAGAGGCACAGCTGGAGGAGCCGGGGCTGCCCGCGGGACGCAGCTGCCCTGCAGGTCCAAAGCAACGGTCTTTAGGGTTAGATTTAGGGGAGATTTAATAGGTTGCAGGGAGACTTTCCCCAAAGCCGCTTTTCCCCAACGTTTATGTGCACGTGCCCGCATTTGTTCTTTCAGGCGGAGCAGGTGAGGAGCGCCAGCCAGGTGGCCGAGGAAATGGGGAGCTGCCAGGCGTGATTGAGGCGCCCAC